TTTTCTGTTCCTGAGTATTCATTCAGTGGGCAGGTTCAAGAGAACTGTAAGGTGTATTGAAGTGCCATGCTTGAATTTTTATTTAATTGGAGAGAATGTGGCATTGTTAGTGATCAAGGTGCTGTGAAGTATGCTTTGCAGATGACTTCTGAAGGAAAAACTCAGGCTCTTGGAAGCTCTCAGGGAAATATAATCTGTAATGTCATGTAAAGCAATGATTAAAGGCAAAGCAACAATCCCCTATTTGTTCAAATGTTTTGTGTCATTCCCATATATTATTTCTATGGGAACATAAGATACTGTTCAGCAGTGGAATGATTTAAAAAAGCATGATTTATTTTTTTTTTTAAGTTGCAACAAAACATGTTACAGAGTAATTTATTTTGAAAAGACTTTGCTTAGATTTAATGAAAAAAAAAAACCAAACTAAAAACAAAAAACCCAAACCCAACCAAATGAAATAAAACCGAACAAAGAAACATTTCAACTCACATGAAGTACTGTAGGAAAATGCTTTTTGGGCCAGAATGTGTATTTCATCCCTTCTAGCTGGTCACCACACTGAAGTCTGAAAAAAGTGAAGTGTAAGTCAGCATAAACAAATATAAGCCAGACATGCCCAGGTAACTCTCTTATTACGTACCCAGCCTTTATCTCTGCTGGGAAGTGCAGAATCCAGTCCAAAAAGGGAATTTCCTGACATCCCTCCCTGAATTCTCACCCAGTCTCATTTCAGAAGTAATACAGATCTCTACCCTGACCTTGCAGTCCTTAGGAAAACAAATCTCACAGATTTTGTCTGGCTTCTTACCATGAATACGGCAGAGTGAGTTTGCATTTTGCTTCATGCTTTCTTTGTTTGTTTGCTGGGTACCTAAATGTGCTTAATATCATTGCATGGCAGTGGTCTAGTGCAGCTCTTGCTGATTGTTTTTTTCTCATTAGTTTTAGTGAGATGAGAATTAGACCTTTAAAAACTGAGAGTAACTATGTCAGGTGGACCAGAGGCAGGAAAACTGAAAAGTGAGAGGACTTGAAAAAAAGAGCAAGTGGGTATTATAAAGTTGTCTAAAGACCCTTAAAAACCCCAAGAGGAATTATATCAATCACATGTGACCTTCAAAGTGACAAAATTGTAGATCATCTGAATTTAAAAAGAGGAGCTATTAAAGCTTGCTAAACATTACTGTGGTGTGATTTAGGATGAAAATTTACTCCTAATTGCATTAATTTATGTTGTCCTGAATATATTTGTTTTATTTCAGTGTTGATCCTGTGTGAGGTAATTTTTTCTTTGTACATTCCAATAGATCAGTGCTGTTGCAGGATGTTTGGGCTTATTTTTGTAATATGCCAGACTGGATTGAGTGTCTTTTTATATATTTTCCTTCTGTCTGATGCAGGCAGTTCTGCTGACTGGGAGTGCTCACCCACAGTGGTGCATTTCACCCTCTGAGCAGTCATGGCAGCACAACAAGGAAAGGGAACAGGAGAAATGACACCACTACATTTTATTTGTCTGAACAAACCTATCTTAATGAATTTATTGCACTGTTTGCCCATTCAAATACAGGATGAGAACTGTGAGCCTAATGCAAACTAGATCCTGCTTGGTCCAAGTTAAATATGGTGGGACCGAGGGCAGAACATGAGTCTGCCAATTCTCTGGTCTTTGTGCTGCTCCCTGGACTGCTTTGTCACAACCCTTTGATTTGTGAGCTTTTGCTGGAATGGAAGAGCTTTTTAAAAGACCTTTGACATTGCTGAGGCATCAATAACTCAGTGATTTGAGAGCTGAATTAACCTCAAAAATAAATGGTGTCATACTCCATGTACAACTTGAAATACTATGAATTCCAGAATTGTGTCACTGTTGTGTCTCTATGCAAAATATTTGGAGAACATGAATATTGAAACCTTTCCAATTGCTTTGTTGTTGAAGTAATGGCATTTCTGTAGCACTGAGGAGTCTTAGACATGGGCCAGAAAAATGTTCAGGAACACAGAAAGATAAATGCTGAGGTATTAACAGCTTGGCACATAGAACAGGAAGGGATATGGGAGAATTAATTTTCTTGCATTAACTTATTTGCTTTTGAATTATGAAGCTATTTCTGTATTGTCTGAAAACTGAATAGTAACAGATTATTGTGAGAACTGCTTATTTGTTCTTTTCATCCAAGATTATTTCTGATCTCATGTTGGTTTGGAAATGCTTGCAGAAGAAAAGAATTCTTCCCAAGTGTTGTGCTTTTTGTTCTCTTTGAATGTTCCGATTTTTTTCAGGCTGACAACTTGTAGTACAGTGTTGCTCAAAGAAGTCAACTATTTAGAAAAGTAGAAGTGGATTTAGGAATGACGTGGAGAACTGGAAAAGGCTAAAGGAAGTAACCCCAGGTGTACCCTGATAACTCCTAATGTCCCTGTGATTATCCAGCATTAGGAAAACAGAAAATGGTGTCATGGCAAGAATTTCCATATTTCTGTATCTTTTTGAAAACAGGCAGTGGGAAGGACATTCTGGTGCCAGTGATGGTACCCTGGGATGTGGACTGCTGAGCCTTTGCACGACAAAGGGCACAGGGAGGAGCACCTGGGGACACAGCAGGGGCTGAGGACCCCCAGACTTTTTCCTGTTTAGACTGTGAGGGGATAAAAACCCCAGGGGCTCCTTTGTTCAGAGTCCCTCCTCGGAGGCACTGGCTCAAGCTGTTATTTTGTTACTGCACCAAGATGAAATAATTTTAAGGATTGTGACATCTGAGACTCTGTTAGGGGAAACTTGAGGTCGAGCCTGTCTCACTGTGAGTGTGGGATGTGCAGCTTTGGTCCCAGCTCAGGTGATTGGAGTGTGACTGCCAGTGGCTCCTGGATGGTCAGACTGGGAAGTTTCCTTAACACTGGAACTGAGGCCTTTCAAATGTGCTTTGGGAGGCTCCTCACATCTGTAAATGATTGAAGTGTTAGCACTGGTGAAGCTTAAATGGTGTTTGATTCTTTGTATTTTATTCTCCTCCTCCAAATGAAGTTATCCATGCACACAACCACAGCTGACTTATGCAGATAAGGTAGATTTGGCAGAGAAATGCATCTATATTTTAGGATATGACTGATTTAACTTGCTTTTAGTGTTTCACAGTACTGAAGGAGCTCTTTAATTACTATTAAAAGCATTACTACAAAGACACAAACCTCAGACTTAGCCTCAGTAATTATCAGAACTTTTCAAAGAAAGGTGAGTATTTTAGCATTTTGCACAGTATAAGGTTCAAGATGCTTTTTTTATTGAAGAAATCTACAAAAGCCAGTGACAAATCACAAAGCTTATGCACTGCAAACTCGTAGTAAGAAACCAGTCAACATCATGCACACAATGAAGTAAAATTATGCATAAATATGGTAACTCCCATGCTCAAAAATCATGTTTCTCTTTCCTTTTGACAATGGAAAATATAATTTTTTTAAAGATGCTTTACTCTTCATTAGTATTAGAGATTTTGGTTTTTGCTTATTTCTGCTTATTCATTTTATTTAATACTGCTGTTGACATAGAAGGGATCTGGTGCTTAAGTAAAAGGGGCATTGCCTGGGATATTCCAAGGAACTGTGTTTCCAGCTAGAGACAATGGGGATGCAGTGGAGTAAGGAGAGCAGTTCTTGCTGCAACTCCCAGGATATGCTGTGGTTGTGATTTGTGAAGCAACCCCACTCATGGTCCCTGGGGCAGAGAACAGCGATTTCATGAATAACAAAACCACAAGAAGAAACATATGACTGTCCTTGCAAAACCTGCTGCCCAAAAGCAAGAAAGGAAAGAACCTTGTAAAACCAGCAGGGAAATGGCCTAAATGTGGAAATATTTCAGATCTGAGTTTTTTACATTTGCTTTTTTTAGTTAAAAGAAACATGCGTATATGTGGGGAAGGAGAGGTTGCATACTGAGGTTGTCTGAGCATATAGTTGTTTCTAGAGCAGTGGTATTCAAATAAAAACCTGCCAAATCAACTCTTAAAGAACTTGGCAGAGACAGCCAGAGCCTTCACCATACAGGGCTGTTTGTACAATTCTCCATATTTGGAGAATACAGTATTAATTAGAAATTGTACAAACAGCTAGTGAGAATGATGAACAAGCTTTTGAGAGTAGCCTGTGATCCTGCCATGGAACCAGCCAGTTAATTTAAGTTGTAACCAGTAGTTATTCCCAACTAGGGGAAAAAAACCCCAGTAATGTCTTTTGTCTCCTGCTGTGGCCCAGGTACACAATGCTGTTAGGAACATGTAATGGAGTCATTATTGGGGCAGCCTGTGGATCTATTACAGATTTTTTTGTACCAAATGCAGCACAGGCTTTTCTATACAGGATGCCATAAAACCAGCAAGAGATTTAATCAGGTATGTTAATGGATTCAGAGTATCTTCCTGGAATTGTCCTTTGTTGGTTTATCATTTTTGGGTCTTCCTTCTGCAGTGTATGTCTTCATTATTGGTACTGCTTTGGGTAATCTAGCAAACAGATCATTTCTGCCATTAGATGCTCTTGGAGAAACTAATTTATGTAAGTAGATCATGGCTAATCAGCTTCCACAGTCCAGCTCTCGTAATGAGTGGAAGGACTGGTAATTCTGCTTGTAGTTGTGTACAGGGCTGCTACAGCTGATGTGCCAGCAAAGCAGTTCAGGGGAATTCACTGTTGCATTTTGGGCAAAATCAGCCAGATGCACTCACTCCACTGATTAAATTGTTAGTGGCAGCTTGCCTCATTTTCCATGGCATTAAAGAGAGATTGTTACAAAGAGCGTGTAAAGTCTCAGTTCCTCCCAAAGGTACAGGAACTAACAAGAAGCAGCAGTTTGGCTGCTGGATTGGAGCCTGTTTTGTGGAGAATCCTTGCTGGGAAGAAGCACTTGCTTGTGTCTCTCGCCTGCGTGGTTCTCACATTTGCAGCAATTACTGCCTGAGTGCCGCCTGTCAGCTGCTCTCGTTTGGCTCTCCGTTCTGGTTCGCAGCTTTCTGATGTGGGCCACTGCCACATGCAGTAATTCTTGTTGTTTCAGGTCTGCAATTACAAGGGTATTTGGCTTCTGCCTGGTCTGGACAGCAGAAAAGGTGGCTGATGCTGCAGCTCATTCCAGACAGGTCTGTAGCTCAGAGAATAGGAGGGGCTGGCGGCTGCCAGCCTACATTGGAGGTACCCAGCTGCACTTGGATCCAGTGGCACACGAGCCTGGTGTGGCACGGCCGGTTCCGAGTGGCTGGTTTGCAGGGAATTAGCGCTGCTCCTGCTCCCGTGTCCAATCGCGGCGTGGTGCCGCAGGCGGGCGCTGCCCTGCGCTCCCCCCGGCGCTGTCGCTCGCCGCCGGCTCAGGAGCACCGAGTGCTGCTGATGTTCGAGCCTGAGAGCCGAGTGCGCTTGCAATGACTATGTCAGAACACGCAGGACACTCGGCACAGGGGTGAGTAGCGGCACACAGCATTTCGCGTCTGGCTTAGAGGCAGCTCTGATCCTGCTGTTGGAGCAGGAGGGAATCTGCAGCCCACTGAAGCATGACTAATCAGTTTGCTAAAATGCTGAGCACCCTCGAGTTTAAAGTATTTCTGCCCTATTGTTAACAGTGGCAAGTGGTGGTTTGTAGCATTTATGTGAGGTGTGTATTTTGCCCAGGTCTTAAGCCCTTGACTTGGGAGCTGCATCCTGTGGCAGGTTTCCTTGGAGTGTGAGGGAAATGTGCCGCTTGTGTTGCTGCTGCTGCTGTGGGTAGCAGTGTGTATTGTTATTCCAGAAAAGATGCCAAGTAATTATAGTATCTTATTTCTGCTTTGAGCTTCAGCAGTGGTTTTATTCTTTGTCATCTTTCTGTTTCAAAGGAGCATTTTGGAAAGGTTTATTTGTATTGAATGGGGTAATTCTGCTGCATGACAAGAAGTGAAAAAAACCCAGGTAAAATGCTAGTAGTCTAAATATTTTAAAACAGGTGAAGATGTGCTTTATTCTTGTCAAATATGTTACTTGATTCAGGGACACAGATTTAAAACCAGGAAGGTAGGAGTTTTAATACAATAAGCAATAATTGACCAAGTTTTAATTATTAAGCAGGGCTCAGAATAGCTCAGAATAGGCAGACATGATATTGCATTTTGTATGAGGCGGATGCCAAAACTTGGTTAATCAATGCTTGCAAAGCACTCAGAGTGTCTTGGGTGCAAAAGGATTTGCAGTGTAGCTGAAGTTGTGATGACAAAGCCACTAGGAACAGCGTCACACAGTGTTTCTCTCAGATTTAAAGTCCTGGTTTTTGTATATATAATTATACTCTTTATTTCTTTGCAGTCATTATTTGTGAAACCAAAACCAAACCACTGCTGCAGTGAGTGGTTATTACTGATGCTATCTGCTTGTGCTGTGCTCCCCTGCCTTTTCTTTAAGATGTTATCAGGACATGCTTTCTGGTTTTCCTTTCAGCATTCTGTGTTGTGCTACTTTTTAAGGAGCTAACACAGTTTCTAAGTCACAAGATAGATCACATTAGTTAGAGCTGCTCAGAATCAGAAACATGGTGAGGATTTGTTTGTATTTTGTTGGAGGATGTTTTGTGCATGCTTGTATACAATATATTAGTGCAGTGTAGCTTTTTGATCATCAGATGCAGATGTTTCAATTGTCCTAACACTGGCTAGGTGACCTTAACTTCATTAGTACAAGGCTTTATTTTTTCTTTTGTGGATTTTTTTTTGTCCAGCAGTTCTGGTGGTGATGAACTTGGGCCAAACTAACTCAGCTGGTCTGTATTATCCTCTTGCCAGTAACCCTAAAGACCAGCTGAGAAGCCTTGTGACAGGTCAGGCTGACATCTGAATGTTGTAAAGGAGAAAACTACAGCCAGAGTAAGCCACTGAGAGTCTTCTGACTCTGAGTACCACAGTCATTTATTTTGAGTGCAGTGGCACTTCTTAGAGACACAGATGTTCCCATGAACATGCACAATGGGAAACTTTAACCCACCTGTGAGTTTGTAGTGGTTTGCTGTTCAGGCACCACTCTGAGCATGAGCTGGATGAAGGCAGATGTTCCAGCAGCAGTTGGTCGTATTCAGATGCAGGTTGACAATCATCCTTAAAGTGATAACATGATCATGATGTCACCAGCTGGAGTCTGGCAGCCTTACCATGAGATGTGCATTGTCACCCAGTGCCTCTGTGCTTCTGGTACCTGAGCTCATCAAATTGCTGTGCTCCCACATGGCAAATTCAGCATGTCCAGTCTGGTACCATAAGGTATGTGCAGTCTGGGTTTTTTTTATTTTTTCAGAAAATGAAACACTTCATTGCTTTTCACATGTTACTTGGTGAAAGCATAGTTAAAAAAAACCCTCAAAAACCCAAATCCACAAACATAATAGGGGTCACTTTCACTTTTTGCAATCACTAAAGATAAAATAGCAGGTTATGCAAGGGAATAAATCTGGAAGTGAGGAAGGAGGGTTCAAATGCAGCAGTAATGCACTGGTAGAAGGAGAACAGATGTGCTGAGCTTATTATCTCTTCTGGCAGGTCATCTACCTCAGACCTCAACGTGGCACTGCGTGAATGTATGGCAGCTCTGGATTTATTTCTTAACAACAAGTTCTCAGATGCTTTGGCTTCTCTACAGGCAAAGTAAGTTGATAAGACTTCCTACTTTTTCTCTGTTTATTTTTCTTTGCTTCACCATCTCTCAGGAGATTTTGACCAGACAGCTGGTTCCCTCTTAATAGTTGATAAATCTCTATGGTTTTGGTTCAGAAGGGAGGGGTAAGTTAATGTGTTAAGTTTTGGGGAAGACTGATAAGTGCTTTACACTTGTGTGAGTAAATAAAATCTTGTTATTTACTCACACAAGTGTAAAGCTCTAATCTGTCTTCTAAAATTATAGTATTGATGTCCTCAGCTGTAATGCAGTATGTGAGATTCTTTCTCCTGGAAGAGTAAAAACCATCTTCTGTCCCATTTTATTTTTGTCTTCTTTCCCATATTTTTCTGCACACTGTGAGAATCTGAATAATTATAGTTATGTCTTTAAATGAGCAACTGTCCATCACTTGAAGGTTTGAGAAACATTAGGTATGAACTCTTTCTTTGTTGTTGTAACCACTTGCAGAAACTTTCTCACAGCTTATTTTGCAATTCAGTATTGCGGTCACGCACTCTGTTTCCTAATTATGTTGCAGCCCAACTTGTAATGAGTGGCCCAGCTGCAAGCAGTGAGGGGTCATGAAATAGTTCCGAAAAATTGTTGTGTCTTTACAATGTCTGTGATCTGTCACACCCTGTCCTGAAGTTACCTGTGTTCTTTGTTTGTTGAAATCTGTGGTTAATTTAAATTTCTCCCCCACCCACCCAATTTGCTCCATTTATTTTTGAGCCACCAGCAAATTGCATCATGCTTTATTTCAGGACACTGGAATATGAAAGAATTAAAATTTATAGCGTGTATTTGATATACACCAGGGGTAACTGCAATGAATGCTACATATCTCCTTTGCTGAGGTATCAGCCTCATATTTGGTGCCAGAATCTGTAGTTTAGCCATGGAAGCACGCTCTGGGAAAGACATTAATGATAAATTGTAGCATCAGCTGTATAAATAATGCTGGGCTTATTCACAGCAAAGTTCTTTAGCGTTTATATATCATCAGAAGGTCTAATAAAAATGGTAAGAAGAATAACTGTATTTTCATTAAATCCTGACAGTAAAGCCCCTGTGCCCATCTGGGAAGGCTCACTCAGTGCTTAGCATAAAATAAGGGGATATTTTATTGCAGCAGGTTTCCAAAACACTGCAAAAGCTAGTGAGGCTATGGCTTGTTTTTTTCTGTAAATCCATTTTTCTTCTGTTGCATATGGTTTTCATTCAGCTTTTGTTGAGCTCTGCAGAACATATTTCATGAGCTGATTCTCTTTTTGTACCTGACTCTATTCCACACTGCAAAACCATTTTGAAACTAATTTTTCATGTTAGCCTGTTGTTATGAGAAGGCCCTTATTCCTGTTGCCTTTGGCAGTGAGGGAAATAGAGACTTATGATCTTTGTGAGTGCAGTGAAGAAACAGAATGCTGAATTTCCCCACAGATGAAATCCATTATGGACACACTCCATCTCTTTAGGAATGAGAAGAGTTGTAGAGTGGGCACATGTGGTAGTCCTGAGTACAGAGCCACCAGTTCCTCACTGTTCCCTTTTGGTGTGCTGAGATTTGAAATTAGTTTTCACAATCCGTGAACATACTATCAGTGTTTAGAGAAATGCTTCTCAATTTTTACATGCTTGTGGAAAATTTAACATCTTAAATTTTTGTGGCTTTAACGCTTCTGGTGTAGGAGATACCCTGCTCTGTGTTACAATAATGCAGATTCTCTGAATTACTCACATTTGACTTCCACAGTAAGTGTATTTTCAACTAATTTGTACCATGTGAAACTGACAGCAGATTTGGCACAATGTGTGAGGCTTAAAATCAGAAGAGCTTTCCTAGCAGCTTAAAAATAAATATCTGAGGATGGTGTCTAGACTTGTGTTGAGGTAAAGCTCTTTTTTTCCTGTTAGAAAAACAAATCCATTACAAAGAAAAACAAATCCATTATAAAAAGAGATCTAATTTCATAGAAAAAATACATGTGGTGGTTTTGCCTTATGTTATATAACTTTTCTTGTTTCCTGAACTACCTTTTAGCTTTTAAAGTCAGTTGTCATTATTATTAACAATCATTGTACAATAATGGGTTCTGATTATGTTGTGCTTTCTGCAGTAAGTTTGATTAAATTTATCTTTTATATGGAGTACTCACTGTATCTAAGAACTTTCAAGAAATGCCCAAAGTTCAGTCACTAAGCCAGCAGTTATTTTCAATATGTAATGTGTTAACTGTTAGCATGCATAACACTGAAACTGTCCAATCACTGGAGCAGGAAAAAAAATCTCATTTTCCTTCTCAGCCCTGAGACATGCAGTAAATCCATTAAATGCTGGCTGGATTTTAGCCCTCGTGTAATTGCAAATAGACAATAATAAATTAAGGGTTGATTCTGGTGAGATGTCCCTTTCCCTTCCCAAGACAAATGCTTAATATTTTAATAATTATCCTGAAGGAAAACATGGCATAATCACCTGATAGTTTGGTAATATCAGATCCATTGGGAGAATGGTAAATCAGATAAATTCCTGACAGAGTTATCTGGACCATTGGATGGGGTGCACCACATGTGTTGCTGATTGCAATATTAAAGGAATAATAAGACAATGATTTGTTCCAGGCAGTTGACTTTATTCTGAAAATAGACTCCAGAAAGCACTTGGTGTCGTTTGGTGGAATATTAATTCTAGAACGAGTGTGCTTTGAAAGCTTTCCCTGGGAGCTGATCTCCCAAAGATCAGGTGTGATTGTCAAATGGAGACTGGTGAAAGAATGGGGGGAAGCACACCCAGGTAGAGTGAAGCTCTAGACAGTGCTTTTATAAATATGTTGCCCAAAGCTTGGATTATCTATTTATTGTAAGGAATTTCATGAACAAGAGCAAAGTTGTTATTTCTAGGGAGTTTTTCTTTTTATACCTGAGGTGTGGAAGAACATAACTTTTATAGTCTTTGTAAATAAATTGATTGCAAGCAAAACCTAACACAATTGTTGGTTTCACTTCTTTGCTGGAAGAACTTAGCAGATTCTGAGCTTTGGAAAATGGCCTTTGTTAAAAAGGCTCAGGGATTCTCTTGCTGAAGCACAGCTTTTTGTCTTGGGCCATCCTGGTGGTTTGTGCTAGCAAGGGAGCTGTGGTGGGGGCTGACTGGAGAGGTCATTGCTGGTTGTTAACTTATTGATACTGGGGAGTCTTGCAGGAAAAGAGTTTTTATCAGAAAAGTTGGTTGATCAAATTGGAGCATTTCTGTGAAAGGCTGTGCCATGGGTCTAGTGGGTTGTTCAGACATTGGTGGAACCTGGGATCAAAGATGAGGAAAGCCTTCGGGCCCCTTGTGACCACATTCTCCTGATGCACGTTTGATTTGGGCATTGATCTTTCACTCTTGAGTCCTCCTGGATGAACAGACTATTGACTGGTCTGTGGAGTGTTTTTCTCACTCTGTGCTGTTGGATTTGTTTTAAGTGTTGGAAGCATTTTGGTACTAAATCAACATATGGATTTGAATCTGTGGTTTCTGTAACTTAGGAATGCATGTCCTGTCTGCTGGATTACTTTAAAGGATCTGCAGAAAAGATTTGGAGCACTATTTTTCACAAGAGATTACTATCCCTGGGTTAATTCTGAGGTCAAACCAAGCTAAAATGTTTGATTTTCATACTTCATCTGGAAAGCTGTGACTGTTCTCACTTAAGCACTTGTTTTAGAGCAGGAATAAAAGTGTTCTCCAGAAGCTCCAAGAAAGGGCAGTGCTGCGAGATGACAATGATTGCACCATAGTTGGAGAAGAGGCATGTGGCAGAACTCCATAACTGCCTAAAGATATTACTTATAATCCTCTTATTCAGTCATGTGATACCAACTACTGGGATAAGTCATTAATCACAATATTAGTTGCATTCATCTCATACAGGCTTGTTAACTCCAACAATGTCCTGAGGAAATTGCTGCTGAGGAATCAAAAGAAGAAAAGTAAAAAGATAGTAAGTTTCATTCTGTATCCATCCATATGAAACTCAGGCCTTAAAACTCCTGGGAATATGCCAGGATGTCGCTTGCAACTTTAATTGAATGGTTAATAGAAATAGCATAGATAAATTGCATTCTGCCTGAAATAAAAAGAACAAATTTGAATGTTGCTAAATATCAGTTGGCTAATGCTAGACATTAATTATTATCCCCTTTAAATATTAGAAGTAAAATAGATGAAACCATTGATTAGGAAAGGGGTGGTTTAGTTTCAGAAACAAATTATTGGAGAGGGAAATCCCTCTTCACCACATGTATGTGAAAAGTACCAATTTTCCTTTTAGTGCAGTGAATTTAATATTTATCTGCTTTGCTTTAGAAAGCAAATTTCTGTAATTTTGAAAGGGTGGTATTTCAGTCACTTCCCTGTGCTTTGAATTTGAGCCTCTGGAAGGGTTTTAGTTTAGTAAATACAAGATGAAGTGTGTTTTTCTGTGCACAGTGAGGCTGATGAATAATCTAATGAACAGAAACACTTCATCAGGCTGGCATTTTAGTGTGTTCATTCTTTTCTACTTTACATTATCAGTCTACTGAAAGAATCATGATTTATGAGGCCAAGAAAGAGCTGTCCTAACTCCACTGGATTTTAAAGCAATTTCTCCATTATCTATCTGTTCTTCTGAGCTTGCAAATGAGATGGATGGTAGCATAGTCTGGGGCTTATAGCACTTATGGCACCAGGATATTTCCCAAAACAGCTTTTCTGCTGGATTGGTTTAGATGGTGAGGTAAAGTAGGAATTGAGGACAGCCACAGAGCACAGACTGCAGTGAAGTTTAAAGATGTGCACTGCAAATTCCTTCAGTACAGCCATCCTGCTCTGTGCCCTGTGTGTTGGAAAAAGCAGCCCTTTGTCATCAGTGTGAGGGTTGGGAAGCACCAGGCCCAAGCCACCACAGTGAATTATTGGATCAGTGATTAATGTGGGATGATCTGAAATTATCCATTAAATTTTCTTTCATTTCAGTCCAGATACCACAACTTAGGGAGACAAGTGTATTTCTGGGGTGAGAAATTAAATCGATTGAGGTGTCTTTAAAGTCTGGCTTTTCTCCTTAAAAAAACCCTACAGAATAAGAGGAGATGAGATTGGAAGGCACCTCAGAAAGTCATGTACTCAAGGAGGGCCATTTTGAATGACTCCAAGGATACAGACTCTGCAACTTTTCTGGATGACATGTGCCACTGCACGGTCACCCTGATGGTACAAAAGTGTTTCCTGATGTTGAGCCAGAGCCTCCTGTGCTTCATGTTGTGCCCATTGCCTCTGATCCTGTCCCTGGGCACCAGTGAAAAGAGCCTGGCTCTGTCCTCTTTGCTTCTTCCCCTCAGGTATTTCTATATATTATAGGAGCCCCCTGAGCTTTCTCTTTTCCAGCCAGAACAGCTCCAGCTCTCTTGGCCTTGCCTCATAGGAGAGATGTTCCAGTCCCTTAATCATCCCCACCACCCTGCTCTTGAGGGTGTCCATGCACTGAGGAGCCCAGAGCTGGGCACAGCACTCCAGGTGGGGCCTTACCAGTGCTGTGCAGAGGGGAAGGAGCTCCTCTCTCATCCTGCTGGCAGCAACACTCCTCTTAATGCAGCCCCATCTTATCAAGAGTACGTTGTTGGCACACCACTTTCTCCTTGAAAGAAAAAGAAAATGAAGAAACACCTGAAGCAAACACATTGAGAACAGGTGTGCTGAGGGTGGAGATTTTGAAAGGATATCCTTGTTTGATGGCAAGTATTTTTGAATATTCCCTGCCATACAGAGCTATCTGATCTGTTCTAGAGTGTAAACAATTGAAATATCAACTGTTGTTCCTTAACAATATTTGTCTTAAGTTGTGCTATTTGTCAGGGTGGATTAGCAAGGTCTACAGAGAGTTTCTATGTGAGGAATTTATCTGAGCTTGCCCTTCAACATATTTCTCAAGTCGTCCTTATTAGACCTCTGTGCCTGAAGATATTTTGATTCACTTGCAGAGAATTACGCCAGACACAGGTGAATGTTCTAAATGTGTGCAGTATACAAACCCTCTTTGCTGTTGGAGGAAAGGTGCCAGCAATAGGAATTAATTGTTTTCCTTGCACTAATGCCAAAGTTTTTTACTTTCTGCCAACGTGGCACTGTCTGAAACCCTACAGAATAATATTTAAGTTGAACAGATTGAGATGGAGGGTTGGCATCTCAAGGGGAGAGGAGAAAAAAGCTGTAGTTTTTGATACAGACTCTAATGCTTCTGATGAGAAGACTTGTTTCAAGGAGGTTCTATTTTGGCCATAGTAATAGTATTGTGTTCCTTATCTCCTTGAGCCTGTACTGAGTAATTGTCCAAAATTAGAAGAATATCAGCTGGATTTGTGTTATATGTTGGAGCATTCATTAGACAATAAACTCCCCCCCACCAAAATAAGTCCCACCATGATTGTCTCATTTCTGAATAGTGAGCCATGTGGTTAATTCCTGTGCTTTGTTTGTTAAATATTTATCCTCCACTCAGAACTATTGCATTTTAGGAGAGTATGTAGAACTCTAGACATGATTTCTTGTACAAATCTCAGTCTACTCTTTCTTGATTATTTTGTGTGTCCTTTGTGTTTGATTTCTAGCTCATTTAGACCTTGTTCCCATGAGGCTGATATATTTCTAGAATTGGATTTGTATCTGCTTTTTAAAAGCAATAATACAGTCAAGCCAGCTGTGCTTTGCAGAACTAAAGTTCTTGTTTTCTTGCAGAACTAAAGACAGCATGTATCATGCCCTGACCTATGCCACCATACTGGAGATGCAAGCTATGATGACATTTGATCCTCAGGACATACTGAATGCAGGGAACACGATGAAGGAAGCTCAAGCCACCTGTCAAAGGTAAGACTGGAGCAATTCTATCAGTAAATAGTTCCTTCTTGAGAAAGTTTTGAAAGACTACTGGATACAAAATGAAACGTAATCTTAGAAAAATCACAGGAAAACTGAGGTTGGAAGGGCATCAAGAGGTCATCTAGCCCAGCCTCCTGCTCAGAGGAAGATCACAGCACATAAATGAGAGTGTTCAGCAGTGTAGTCTTGAAAACTTCAGTTTACCACAATTTTCTTGTCAATTAGAATTTGTCCTACCTGTGGTCCTGGTTCTGCAGTGTTTGGAAGTTGTTTGCAATGTTCAAACACTGCAGAATGTTCCCATGGGTGATGGTTGTACTGCAGTTGTCTGAGTCAACTTTTGCACCCACATTCACCCATACACACAAAAAATAAATCAAAATGCCCCCATATCCCCTCTTCTTCATCATGATAGATTTCTGTGCACAAAGGGTAAGAGACAGATCCCAGAAGACCTCGTTGGCTAAGTTCTCTGTGGACTGTGCTGAAGTTTGTGTGTGTGGTGAGATAACAGGGGGCTGGTGAGCACTGGGGGCACGTTAGAGACTGTGTGGGAGGCTGGCTGAAAGATATGGCTCTCTGTTGTTGGTGCTCCTTCTTCAGAATGACCAAACTGACTTTTTGCAGATTTAGGAAGAAATCTACTGTAGCTGATTCTATCAACAACCTTGTGCATAGGCAAAGCCTTGAACACTTCACTGAAGGTAACATCTTTTACATGGGCAATGTTTTCCTTTTTTATTTATGCAGTTTGAATCCTGTAGAATTGTTCACTCAGTATATGAATTCAATGACAAAATCACTGATCTGGATTTGCTGGACCAAATGTCAATGTTTTGGCCATTTCTGTGTAACCAGTGCAAAATCACTGGTCTTGTCGTTTTCTGACTCAGCACTCACAAAAATCACTGGATAAAGAAATGTCTAGAAAGAAATGTCTATAAAGGTTCTAGATCCGGGAATTCATGGAAAGCACCAGAAAAATTTCTGCAAAGTCTCTGTAAGTGTGTGTCATTTCTGTTTAGAGTTACATCAATAGTCTAGAACTGAAACAATACAGCAAATTTGGAAAATATTTTTCTCAGTTTGAGCTCTGTGATCTTATTCCTACATTAATGGGCTAAGTGTTTTTAAATTACTTTCTGACTGATTGATTTTTTTTCTTCTCTCTGTGTGATGTTAGAGGAAATCCATGCAGAAATTTGTTATGCTGAATGTTTACTTCAGAGAGCAGCACTCACATTCCTCCAGGTATGGATTCCTGCATGGCTCTTGGGGGGAAAAATACCATGCAGGTTTATTTTCCTAAATGGACTGATAGAAGACTATAGTTTGACCTAATGATCTTTCAGCTGGATCAAGTCTGGATTTTATCCTATCTGATGGGATATTACAATGTTTAGTTTTCCCTCGTGGTTACTAAAAAATACTTATCTCAACACACATAGTGCTGAGTGCCCATATCTTTCCCCACTGCCTTTTGGATGTTTGAAATGTTAACAAGCACCAATTTCCAAATGACATATTGGGATATCAGATTTAAAAATACTTATCTCAACACACATAGTGCTGAGTGCCCTATGATACCTTTCCCCACTCCCTTTTGGATGTGTGAAATGTTAACTGCAGCAAGCACCAATTTCCAAATGACACGTTGGGATATTTAATAAACAATAAAAATGAGATGGTCATTGAAGCTGTGCTGGAATACAAGCTAGACTTTTGTTTGAGTCTGGCTGGTGTTTGCTTTCCTAAGACTTCTTTCTCACTGGTTTCTTCTTGAACAGCAATTATGGTCTGCATAGCTATTAGGCTCCACACATGCTTTCTCCTTAACAGTGCTGTCTGCCTTTAACAAAGGGGACCTGTCCCTCTTTGGATTTTATCTGTCTGTCCTAATGAAGCTTGATTTGTTTGATGGAACAACATTAGCAGTACTTGCTAGGGCTCCAGCATGCAATTTTAATTGTTAGTCACAGTTGAAATAACTGATTTTTCTTCTTGATTTGGCTGTACTTGTTTATGAATGTGGGCCTCTTCATCTACCAAGGGGATAATAAAAGCCACAGTCAGAAAAAGGCTGCTGCTTCTTGGCTCAAGGATGCTGATAGGAAATGGAATGCAGGTGGTGGTTTTATAGTGTTTGGGAGTTGCCAGGTGGGCTGTGATTTATGTTGCTTACAGTTTATGAACCATGTAACCTTTTTCAGCCATCTGCTGAGTCCCTCTGCTAGAAACTATTGCTTCATAGCAACACCCATAATCAGGGGAGCTTCTAGTAGTTTCTAGAGTGCAGATGATGGACTTTGAAATGACCAAGGTGTAGCTATCTGTTTCCATTCTCCTTTGGGATGAGTAGCCAGTTTGGGTGAGATCTGAAACTGTGGAAGACTTCTGAGAACTTCTCTGCTATGCCTATAGAAAAGGAGCATTTTAAAGCTCTGTCTCTTGGTTTTAAGCAGTATTTTTCACAGATATCTGTTTATGAAAATGTTTATAGAAACGTGAGATTTAAGATTACAAAACCAATTTATTGTCCTCTTTTGCAAAAGTCTCTTTCCTTCCTGTTGTCTTCTGTGTTTAATTTTTCATGAACACATGAACCAGTTTGAAAAATTAAACAGAGGCACTTGGTTTCAACAGCTACTGAAGTGGGTTAGTTTTGATGCTTAGTAAAAATGACCAAAATTTTATGTGTTGAAAACACATAAAATGTAGTCCCAGCATTTTTCAAGGGCTGAAAAATTCTCACACTGTCTATCCCTGTTGTTGGTATCATTCTGCATGTAAACATTTTAAAGCCATATTCCTTCCTTGTTCCACTTTCCATTCAAAGGAAAATATAACTGAATCTTTACACATGGCTGTAAAGGTTCATTTATGTTTTCCCCCCCACAATATGCAGTACTTAGTTAGTACATCTCATTAATCTAAACCATGCTGTTTTCTCCACAATGCCCTCTTATGATTTTTCTTGTGATGGTATCTTCTGTTAAAACACATGGAGAGTCTCTGAGTTAAAGTAACAGCAGACATCAAAACAAACCAGAATGACTGATTATATAGGTAAGGCAAGAAAGTGCCTCCAAAAAGTTATGAAGCTAAAGACCCTCTAACTAATGGTCACCTAGATACTTTAATGTAATTTATCAGTTTGTTATGGCTTATCATGTAACATGTTATCTTACTAGTATGGATCTCATGTATATATATGAATATTCAAACCAGAAAGAGCATATCCTGCATAATTTTAATGACCCTGCTTCACTCTTGGGATATGCAACTGTATTCTGCAGACTCTTGAGGACAGGCAGCTTACTTGTGAACATTTCCTGGCCCAGCACCAGATATATCCTGACTACACTCAAGTACACATGAGAGAAAGCTGTTTTTTGAGAGAGGCATAAATGCATGTACCTTGCCATAAATGCATTAGCTGAGTCCCTGTGTTCATTAATGCAAATTCAGATGGTTCAAAGGTGACAAGGGCTAAACTGATCACAGAAAGCATTAAAATAAAATGCCTGTGTCTAAGCAGAGTAAAAAAGTATTTTAATATAGAAAGGAAATCCTAAATCCATATATTATATCTTACAGGCTTATATTGTCTGTGTCATGCTGGTTATGTTGCAGGTGTGTATTCATCTTCAGAAGACAAAAGCCCTTTATAATGCTTACAAATTCATACTGCTAATGTGTTTCCATTCCAACAGGATGAGAATATGGTCAGCTTCATAAAAGGGGGCATCAAAGTCCGAAACAGTTACCAAACCTACAGGTGAGTCAGAGGGATGATGTCATTAGGTGCACTATATCAGTAAAAAGTGCTGCTGGTGAAATTAGATAATTCACAAATTCATTGCTGTTGTGTTTATTGAGTCTTTATTATGGGCCTCACGTCTACAGATTTTCTCAGCCTAAGCAGATTCTTCCTTTGCATAACAAAGGACATTAACATCATGGTTGGTTTGGATTGTGGAGGCAGTGGACCCTGGCTCTGTTAACTCCCAAGGTTTTTCTATTTAAAGTACTATATCCTTGAAATTATGTCCAAAAAATAACTGTTCTAAATGATGCACTGTTCATTGTGTCTGCAAAGCAGAATTTGCAGGTCTTGTAGGCTTTATGAAATGGCATTTCTTTGTAGTACCAGCTGCAGCTTTTTGGAGCATTTAATAACAGTAGCCGGAGCACAGTAAAAAGTGAAGGCTAAATATGCATCATATTTTATTTATTTGAGAAATATAAATTTTGATTCAGAGTGGGCACAAAATGTCTTGTGTGCAGCAGACACAAAACAGCATCAAGTCCAGGTTCTCCAGAAGTCTGCTGGAAGGGAGAGATATGACAGTGTCCATGTTAGTGTGGATTGAACGTGGCTCTAAATGCAGGTCCAGAAGAATGCACTTACGGGGAATAGTGCTGAGTCTGTTGGCAACAACCAATCAATAACGTGACAGCCTGAACACAAATACATGCTTCCATTAAAACAATGTTTTTCCTCTCCTAATAATTAACAAAATAAACTAAAACAGTAGTGTAAAAGCCACATAGCTATAGAAAAGCCTGGAGGCAAATTGATTTCAAACTGAGCTGGATTATGTGGGGAATAAAGGGACACTACAGAGCTGAGACTTATAAAAGTTAGAAAAATGAGTGAAAGTAATTTCTGATGCATCTGCCCATTTTGGAATATTTATTGCAGTTGTCTTTTCCTATATAAAACAAAATATTCTTTTGAACATGCAGTTAATCCAGGGATTAGTGACACTCAAATTTGCTAATTTAAATTTAAGTCTCGTGTGCTGCTCCATCATCTCTTTTTTTGCAGTGGCAAAGTTTTGGTGATGCTCCCAAAAGCCATTCTTGAAACATTTTCAGTCTGAAATGTGGTTGGATATTGACTGTGTCTGATTGACAGGAATTCTTCTCCAGGATTCCATGGTTTTAAATTGATAATTAATGTGACAGAAAGGATTTGTTGATAAATCCAACAAAATGTAGATGTTGTTCTCTTGAGTGAGATGACAAATTGGCCTTTTTTTAAACTACTCTGTAGTTCAAGGTAATAGAGTTTTTCTTCCTGAATTATAATTAATCATGATATTTACTGTCACTGTAACAGAATCTTGTGCATTTCCAGGGAGTTGGACAGTCTCATACAGTCCCCACATTATGTCAAAGGAGAGAACCATCTTCATTTTGAGGGAGGTGTAAAACTTGGAGTTGGAGCATTTAATCTGGTATGTACCAACACTCTCATCCTGAGCTGCTGCCCTGCTACCTCCTGAAAATCACCCTAACTTGAATTCTTGAGAAGTTCCACTGGCATCATACTGATCATGTGTTAAAATTAGGTGTGTGCTCTGACAGTGCAGGATCCCAGTGTCTGGTCTGAGCACATCAGACAATAACACTCAGAAATAAAGAGATTGCTGCCCACAACGTGGTGTGAGCACCCAGAGAAGCCTTGCCCAGGAGCACCAGTTGCCTCTGCAAGTCAAATTCCACTTACTCTTTACCTGACACTGGGAAAGCTACCAGGATCTAGGCTGTTAGCAGGGCACTTGGAAGGGGTGGGGTACATGAATGAAGTTTGGGGTGCTGCTCCAGCCACCATTGGCTGTTGTTGCTTGTGTTCTGGCCAAAAAGCAGGTGAGCAAAAGGGGCAGGATGGTTCCTGGGAGGGGACTGACACAGACATGGTGAGGGGTGATGGGCTGCAGAAAGTGCCTGGAGCATCCTTTTGCTTTCATTGCTTTGCATGAGTCTGGAACATGCCTAAATATCAGAATTGCTGCACAAGGAACAAATATGGACCATGTGGTATGAACCCAGCATTTCTGAAACATCCAAGAAGTGCTGGAGTTACTAAGCATATGCTGTGTAAACACATTTCTGTGTAGGGCATCCTGGAAACACAAGGTGCCTAAATTAAACATATTTCTGTTTAAATTGTATGTAAAATACAGCAGGTGTATACATTTTCCCTGAAAAATGTCATATAGAGATGATTTTAGTAATTTTATTTATGATTTCTTGTGCTTGGAAAAATTGTAGAAGGGTATTGGTAGCCGAAAGGCAGGAAGTCTGTTACTGCATAAATCTTACATTTTTCTCTGTAGACATTGTCCATGTTTCCTGCACGGATTCTGAGATTACTGGAGTTTGTTGGATTTTCTGGGAATAAGGTAAATGTGAACTAAATGTTATTAGTACGTTCCCCTCACTCTTAAATTAAAAAACAGAGGCGGGAGTTTCTCTCTTCTCCCCCACATGAGTATAACCCTCTGGTATCACACATGTGCACTGTGGCACTGTTGCTTTCATGCAGCTCAGTTTTGCTTTATATTTTTTCCTGAATTATTGCACTTCAGAGGTTGTAATACCATTGTTCAGTGTTGAAACCATTGTGAAACATGGTAGAGGCAATGGCTAATACAGGGATGTCAACATATTTAGGTTTTTAGTTACTGGTCTTTTGATGTAGGCTTGGGCTCAGAAATCTGTAGCCAAAAGTGTATTCCTGGCCTTTAATATATTTATATAGCTTCCTTGGTAGTTACTGTCATTATGGGGTCTGAATGTTCCTGACAGGTTCTTGCATGACAGGGAAAAATAAAAATCTGTTTCATTTCTGCTTTAATAGCAGCTGGAAATTTGAGTGTGGCACCTAAATTCTCCTGCCTAAGGGAGTAGGTGCTTTTTTACCTGTAAAGTAACCAGTCTGACTTAAGTTGTTTGAGCAAGATGTTTAAGGAAGGAAGTTCAGTAATGGAGCACCAAAAAACTCACTCTTTTATAATACTTTCTATTTACGAAACAAATTTTAAGGAGAAAAGTGTCTTTTTTATAATCAGAGCTGAAGCCTTACATGGCAGATGAATGACTGTCATCACCATTTTATTGGTTTACAGGAAGGATCTTATATGTGAAAATAAAATGTCTTATTTAAAAGCAAGGAACAGAGTGTGGATTACAATTTAGAGATTTCCAGGAGCTGACCAAGAGCTATTTCACAGCAGTAAAGGCAAAAATCAAATAGTTCTACCTGTCAGTTTCAACAACAGAGCATTTAAAGCAAAACATTCTCTTAGAAATGTAAAGGCAATTCACCTACCAGCAGATTTCTGAGAATACTTTGGTGAATGCTCATCTTACTCCTGCAGATAGAAACTGTCCCTCAGTTGAGTTTTCATTTGGCCCTGGGATTTCTTGCACGGCTGTGAGTGGGCTGATATTTGTGTTGATGAGTCAGCTCCTATTACAGTTCCTTAATAACTCACTGAAGCATGACTAAGATTACCATAAATTTGAGCAAAACCCCTGTTGTTTGCACACCATACAAAGGAGCATTTTAAACATGTTAGTCAAAGTTCATTGATCAACAATGAATTTATTTGTTGAAAAATTTATTTTAACATCCTAAAAAAGTCTTTCTGCATATAACATTTGTGAGTCAGGTGCCTGAAGCCAAAAGCAAAATTGCAATTACATGTGCAGTCCTTTCCACTGGTGGTTTTCCAAAGTTTCCAACGAGACAGTAGGCAGGAGGGTGAAAGAAACAGGGTTTGCACACCATACAAAGGAGCATTTTAAACATGTTAGTCAAAGTTCATTGATGAACAATTAATTTATTTGTTGAAAATTTTAACACCCTAAAAAAGCCTTTTGGCACATAACATTTTTGAGTTAGGTGCCTAAAGCCAAAAGCAAAATTGCAATTACATGTGCAGTCCTTTCCAGTGGTGGTTTTCCAAAGTTTCCAACAAGACAGTACGCAGGAGTCTAGAAGGTGAAAGAAACAGTGACAGAGGAGGAGAGGAAAGTTTGTTCATCTGTGCTGCACTTGTCCAGGAGATTTTCCTACACCTGTGTTTGATACTGCAGTCTTTTCCTTTAAATGCTTACTCTGAGTATCAGATTGTGCAGCACAGTCATGGTTAGTGCCTTGAGCTGTTTGTAGATTACCTGGGAGAGCTGTAATGCACTGCAGGACAGCTTGATTTTGGTGTTGGTCATGTATTTATTGAAACTGGATATAAATTTGTATTGTGTGATCCTCCACGATACCAACCTGTCTCAAAGCCAGCACATTTACCCCTGGGGACTCTACTCTGAGTCATGTCATGGGGAGCAGCAAATGAGGACATGCCCAAAGCTCCAGCACTTCCTAAGCCATTTGCAGGCACTGTGGACATCATTATCAACTTAACAGCAGTCTGGAGTCTCAAAATAGTAGGTGGGATAAGATCAAGAAAATATAAAAAGTAGCTTGAGGCCATGTTTGTTCCCTTCCAGTCCAAGATGTGCCAGCTGTGCCCTTCGCGCTGTTGAAGCTCCTTTCCCTTGCATCATTAGTGAAATCATTAGCTTGTTTGTGTTTAGTAGCACAAGCCCCACATTTGGGCTGTGAAGTTGAGTGCAGTTTTGCCCAGTTTTGAGAGAAAAGCCTGGTGGGCAGAGGCGTGTGAGGCACCCTGTGCTGGGGAGCACAGCAGCCTCACTGGGCAGCAGGTGGAGCGTTTGTCCCGGGTATTTAACCGTGACTAACCTGTGACGTGAGAGCAGGAGGCTCCTTGCACTGTCTTCCTGGAAGCCTGAACCCTCCCCACTGCCTCCTCTGCCAGGTCTCAGGCTAATATTTACTCCTGTGCTTATTTTATAGGTGATTACAAAAGCTGTGCTGCTAAACTGTAGAACAGTTTGACGTGAGCCTACCATATGTTAAGTGCAATTTGTCATGGGGTCAGATGACAGCGTGATTTCATGAGAAGGCAGGAAAACTATCAGATAGAACCGATTTCTTTCAAATTATACTTTTTTTTTTAATGTGGGAGGACATTTTTCCCAAAGCTAAAGAATATTCTTGATGTGTCAATTTCTAATAAATTGAATTCCAGTTTCTCCCTAAGCATCTCTTTTGAATTGCATTTTGGTCTCTTCACATTTTAAATGAAGCTTAAATCTAATATTATTTAATGGGATACCTTTAAATGCCCTGTCTGTCAGCTTAATTAGTCAGTTCTTTGTAAAGCTGTTAGTAGTATCCATCCTCCTTGCTAACCTGCAGCAATGTGATCAGGCCATGGGACATGAACAATGACCCTGCTTTGCTTTCATTGTCAAGATCTCTAAAAGAATGATTTAAAAATAACATCCAAGAACTTTTGCTTCAGGAAAGTTGATGGGTTTTAGTCAGTAACAGAAAAAAAATGAAATAAATATGAACCAGTCTCATGTTGTCTGGTAATGATTTTGAGCGTTGTCCTTATTCATCCTGCAACTACTGTGGGAATCCCCAGTGCCCACATGGGGAGTCCTGAATGAAGCATTGGATGTCTTGGGACAAGAATTGAATCAATGAGATACTGATATAATGTAATGTAGTGACAGTCTTGGGAATTAGATTGTGGGATGCCATGAGGAGCTTGCACAGAATGCTGAGAGTTACCACACTGGATCATGTCTGCTCTGTGCTCTACCATATACCTTTCAGAGTAGTTTGTTTTGTGTGAAAATAAAACTCAAATGTGCTAGTGCAAATTAGGGAAATTACAAAAATGTCTTTCTGGAAAAATTACAAACACTTAATGCCTTGACATCTGTTTTATACTGTCACCAAATGGCCTTTAATGGACTTTGTTTGGAGGCTCATTCCTGGTGTTCTGGGATTGCTTCTATCAGTTGTGACATAGGTGTGGGAGGTAGTTATGGGTCATTTATGGTTAGAAGGTGTGTCCTGGCAATTAAATATAATGTACTCACCAGTAATGGTGCCAGTCCCTAAGTGAGTGCAGTGTGTTTGCAGAGTTACTCCTCAGGCTCAAGTAGCTGCTTGTGATTTGGTTCCCAGATCCTCAGTCTGATCCTGGAGAGCCTTACATTGCCCAGCTCCTGGCACTCCCTTGGCTGATGGGGATTGTTGGCTAATCCCTGTAGGCTCCCTGTGGAGAAAGGGTGTTGCTTGAAAAGGTGAATCATGTGCCAGATCCACTCTTCCTTGGAGGAACACCTCTGCCCCAGCCAGGCTCAGAGGGAGCCTCGGGAGACCAGCTAGGGAGTGTGGGATGTAAAACATGGCTCCCAATGACCATTCATATTCCTATTTTCTGGGTATCTCATTGTAAGAGAAGCAGTTTGCAAGAGGTTTTTTTGAGAAGAAGCAGCTTTGCTGCAGTGTTTTCTACAAGCAAGTATTAAAATACTAATATCAGCTACTTCTAGATTTCTTTTCTTTAGGCTGTGTCTTCTACTGATTGTTACTACTTTAATGCAGAAAGTTTGGGATATTCAGATGGCAGAGTGAAAAGTAAACACCCTTTAATACCTCTGCTGCATTAGATAGGCTTATGGACATTCCACAGAGTGAACGAACTTGCTCAGTGAGCTCCTCATGCCTGTGTAACTACTCAGTTCAAGAATTTAGAATTAAGGGCGTCAGATTTGCAGCCCTCTTCTGATGAAAGGGCAATATTCTTAATCCAGGATGCAGTCCTGTGTAAGATGGGTGTGGGTTCATTCCTTGTTCATATAGATTATAACTTTGTGTTTGGCTGCACTTAAATAGGCTTTTGAGACTAAAACATAATTGAGATCAACTTGACAAAGGTTGCATTATTTTATATGACAAAGTCTGTTTGAATCATTCTTAGTGCTGTTCACATTCATTTTGTATTTATTTTTATATAATATGGAAGATACTAAATGCTGTAAAGCCTAGTGCCAGTAAAGGCTTAGTGAAATATCAAGCCTGAAGATTTTTCATTGCAAAAAAATGTACTTTGGAAATATACTTTGGAAAATTTTTTTTGCCAAAATTCGTTCCACAGAATGTTTTATTTTACTTCTACCCTGAAGTGCTACTTTTTAAAAATACAAATATTTGTGGCTTTTGTCTGGGTAGTTTGAAGAAGCTGAATATATCATATTTTGTTACTTATTTGTATCAATCTAACTTTTCCTCTCAGCAGAAAATGAAGTGGTTTTATTTTGCTAAGTACTTGATTTCCATTGTCACTGATTTTCTGTAATGATTTTACTATCTTTTAATTTCTTCTGTAGTGACATGCAAGTCAGTGTTTTCATTATTTTGTCCCAATTAGATGTAATAATAATTGATCTGCAAATATGAGTCATTTTTCTTGTAGCAGTAATTAATGTAATACACTGGGTTTTCAAAATAAAAACAAAGAGAAGCAAAATCACAACCTCCCCTATATTTATGTGAAAACAATTAACTGCACTAGTTAAGTGCAAAAATAGATGTCTGAGGAAAATGAGAATTTGATTACAGGCTTCAGTGTTTACACAGTAAGCAGTAAAGGCGTGGTGGTAACATCCCTCAGTCAACAAGGACACACAAAAGATGTAAATCTGTGCTGGGGTTGTGCTCTGAGGGCTCTGCCTGATGCCTTTCCTGGTGCCTCTGACAGACATCCCTCAGGGTTCCTATTTATAGCGTGGCTGGTTTGGAAAGGTGTCCTTGCAGTCACACACGTTGTGTTCCAGGGCAGTGATGGAGTAACTTTGAAACAGATTCTGTCCCAGCACACAGTGGATGTCTTACTGTGCATATTTACAAGTAGGCAGCTCTCTTGTTTGATACATTTGCATATTTATATTCTTGCTGCTGATATCATGGAACTAGTCCTAGAATGGGCTGATAAATGCTCTTGCCTCAGGAACTTGAATCCCTAAAGTTGGTTATCCATCATGCTGTCATTGACTATGAACACAGTGTTATCCTTGATTGCTTTAGTTCTTCCCAAAGGGAACAGAAATTCTCTTCTTTTAGTTATATTTTTCCACTGGTGGTAGCGAGCCAACATCATTGCAAAGCTCCTTTTTTTCTTGGCATACTTTAAAATGTCTTTTTGCCCTGACATCTTTTCCTCTGTTCATTGCAGATTTTATTTTCTTGATACCTTTAACTCTTCTGTGCAGTGAACCACAACAAACAAGAATACACTGTACAGTGATTATGTGTGGGTTTTGTTTTGGTTTGGTTTTGTTTTCAAAACCCTGTGTTTTGTTTCTGGAATGCTGTTTAGCAGCACTTGGATCACAGTGATAAATTGTCTCTTATTTTCTTATGCTAATCATGGAATACATCCCAACTTGCTGCCCTGTCACCAGGTGTTTTCCAGGATAAGCAGTAACTCCATGAAAAACTATTAGATAGATGAATAGGTGTATTTTTATCTTTAATTACTGTGTAAGCAATCAGTGCCTTTCCAGTGCCTTTTGAGGAGTTTTTCAGTGCCTTTTAAGGAATTTGGTGAGTGACAATCTGTAGCTGACCGTGCAGAAGTTAAGCCAGGAAAACACAGCCTGGTTCTTTCCCAACACTTGTCCCCCTCCCTGTGTTTGCACAGGAACATGGTCTGCTGCAGCTTCAAGAGGGAGCATCATCATACAGCTTTAGGTCGGTGCTGTGTACCATGCTGTTGCTTTGCTATCATACTTTCATGACCTTTGTGTTAGGTAAGATTGTTTATAGTAACTCTTGGATTTAATTAGTTCTTGTGGGACACAAAGGGGAAAAAGATGATTCCATCACCTATTTGTTGGTGAATAGTTTGTTTGTAACCAGATTACATGTAGGTCATTTGTGGGCCATTTTACAACAATCATAACTGAAAAGTGTGTTTTAATTTTCAAGATAGAGGGTTTTTTTAACAGGTGAGAAGGGAGATACTGGGGATGGCCAAGAAAGTTGTGAGAACTGAAATCTGTTTTAGCCAGCTGCATTGTTGGGGAGGTTAATATAATGGCTGTAAGTGATAATTGCTTTGTTGACATTGGATTTTCTTTGGGAGGTGACAGCTTCCCTCTAATATGTACTTCTGTGTTATCTCCTGCTAAATCATTCTACAAAATGTGTTTGTGCCTGAGTTTTCAAGTCAGGAAGCACAATGTTTTCAGGGCTTCCTGCTTCTGCCTTAGTGCAGCACCAACCTGTAATTTATGCTTTACTTAGTGGAGAGAGGAATCAGCATGTTGGCCAATTGAGGATGGAAAATCAGTACCTTGCATTCCTGTTCTCCTTTTTTTTTTTTTTTTTTTCTTGTTTTCTAACTATTTTTATCACTTGCATTTTTACACATTCTAGGGACAGGAAAAGGAAATGTTGAGGAGGCAGAAAAACTACTTAAGCCTTACTTGGCACGCTATCCAAAGGTAAAATGAATCAATTTATTTGGTGTGGTCATTTAATGTTTTCGTGCCAAAAACTGTATGGCCAGATTGAAAACTGTTATAGAATACTTGTGTTTTTATTATTATTTATTACAGGGAGCCATATTCCTGTTTTTTGCAGGCAGGATAGAAACACTAAAGGGTAATATTGATGCGGTAAGTAATCATTTTGCTCTTGAGAAAGTAAATTTCAAAAGCTTTGGAAAAATTCCTCCAGGAATGTTACTTCCTTTTTGGCTAATACTTCCTCTGACTTTGGCCTATATACAATTAGTGGTTTATTAAATTACAAATAGCAATTTTGTACACTGTTTTGACTTGTTCCTTCACCTGATTTTGCTACTCCTCTCAATTTCTGGTGATAATATAGTCCACCAGGATTAATGACACAGTTTCATCACTGTCTTTCCCATCCTGCAGCAGATTGTATCTTTAATGAGACCCAGTGGTAATCCTTTGCCTTCAGTGCGAACAGAGTCATAAAAGACTTGAAAAAATTATTAAGATGAAGAATGCATGCCCAAAATACTCTGAGACAGGGTATCAGCTGGTGTGCAGGGCAGTAGCTCCCTTGAAATCCATGGAAGTGCAGCAATAAATGTCAGCTGAGCATCTGTTCTCTGCCTTCAGATTCCTAATTTCCCAAGACACAAACATTCATTTTGAGTATGCTTGAAAACATAACTTCAAGGAATGGGGAACTTTGTGACAGGGTAAACTTGCTAGCACCAGGATGACTGTGCAGCAAAGAATCTCCTGGGTGAAGCAAAGAGATGTGATTTTGGGAAACACTGGGCTGGCAATAATTTAGAAGCTGCAAGAGCCATGCAGGCAGATCCTGGAGCCCCAGTGTGCGACAGCTCCTCTGTCTGTGCATTTACACCTGACTGAGGCAGTGTTTGGAAATCTCTGTGTGCAGGCAGTCAATAGGTACGAGGAGTGCTGTGAAGCTCAGCAGTACTGGAAGCAGTTTCATCACATGTGCTACTGGGAGCTGATGTGGTGCTTCACCTACAAGCGCCAGTGGAAGATGGCTTTTTTCTACGCAGACCTGCTGAGCAAGGAGAACACTTGGTCAAAGGTAAGTTCAGCAGAAAAGGAGGGCAGGAGGCCTCACAGTTTCTATAACTTTTGAGCAAGTTGAGTTGATTTTTTGTAGCTTTGAGGGTGTAGATTGTAAAGTAAAACCTGGCCTGCTGTGACTGCTGCAGAATGATGTGGAATTGCAAACATCCAAATCTGAACAGATGGTGGGCAAGCAGAAATCTTTTGGGCCCAACTGATAGATGAAGAGCAACTTGTTAAAGATGCTGTGTAGTGACTGGTTGTGTCATCAGATGTTGCAATTAATGGTGCAAGTTGCCATTTCTTTCCTTATGCCCTGGATAAAAGCTCTTCTGCTGGTGAGTGAGGTTAGCCATGGTGGTGCCTCCAGGGTAATAAATGCAATTAGAAGTGGCGCCTGTATCCCTGTGCATCTGCGAGGGAGGAGCTCTTCAATCCAGAGCCCTGGTAGCTCTCCTCCTTTTCTCTTCCCTTCTTGCCTTTTTAAAAATGGGGGTTATGTTTCCCCTATTCCAGTTAGTAGGAGTTTTCCTGAACTGGCTTGACTTCACAGATATGCTGGGCAGGGGCTCAGCAACATCATTCACTACTCCCCTGGGGATCCATGAGCTTTGCTCCTCCAGGTTCATTAGAAGGTCTTGAGCTCAAACTTCTCCTGCCCTAGGCAGTTCATTTCACATTCTCTGCAACTTTCTGTGACTTGGGCAGAGAGGCTGGGGCACTTGATGGTGAGGACTGAGGAAAAAAAGTCAGAGTTAGTTAGCCTTCTCCAGATGCGGGGTAAGCTTGTCTCCTGTTTTCTTCCAGAGAGGGCCCACATTTTCTCTAGTCTTCCTTTTATCACCATCATACCTATAGCGTCTTTCCTTGTTGCTCTTTCTATCCCTGGCCAGACATCAGGGATGTTTAAGTTTTCCTAACCTGATCCCTGGCCATTCAGACAATTTCTCTGTATTCCTCCCGGGCTACCTATCCCTAACCTCTGTAGGTTTCCTTTTTGTGTCTTGAGTTTGTCCAGGAGATCCTTTTACACTCATGTGGACGTCCAGGAGTTTTTGCCTGAGTTCCTCTTTTTTTGGGATGCATTGCTCCTGGGCTTGGAAGAGATGATCCTTGAGTATTAACCAGATTTCAGGGGCCCCTCTTCCTTCCAGGGCTTTATCTCATGGTGCTCTACCACACAGATCCCTGAAGCGGCCAAAGTCTGCTCTCCTGAACTCCAGGCAGTGACTGTTTTCTAGAACCTACTCTTTGGGATATGTTACCAAGTTGTGGTAGGACACAGAGACTGTATATTATTAGGTCTTTTCTCTGAGCTGACCTTATCTTAGGTTTTCTAGGCTGTGTCCTATTAAAAACTTACTCAATTGTGACATTTGTTCTTGGAATTTGGACACAAACTATTGGCTGATACATACTAAACAAACACATACATGATTTAAAATCTGTATTCTATACTCACTTTCTAAAATACTTATCTCTTACCTAAATTTTTGCAAGACTGTGAGCAAAAGCAGCAACTTCTTCCCTTTATGTTGCTATTTTGTGCTTTATATGAATAAAGATGATGCTGTAAATTAATTTTTCTATATAGATTTTTCATTGCATTTGCAGGCTACTTACATTTACATGAAAGCTGCTTATCTCAGTATGTTTGGACCAGATGACTGCAGTCCTTTTGGAGACAGCGAAGTTGAATTATTTAGGTAAAATTTGCAAACTCGTAGTTACAACAATTTACAGTCTTTTTATGTCACAGCATTGGGGAAACAGAGGCAAAATTATTATGCAAATAGCATGGGATTGGTAAGAAATTGCAGAGTTAAACATCCTTCAGACTAAAGTGGACCCTGACTTTAGACAGCAGATTTCTCCTGGCCATACAGTGGCTGCTGCTGTTCCATGTAATACATTCTTTTTTAGTTGCTTCCTTTAATCAAAATGGAATGTAAGATGTGAAAGCCTTCAATGGATTTTGCTGCAAGATGTGTTCTTCCTTAGTGGGAACATCAGCACAACTTGATTCCTGGGTTCTGATTCTGAGAGAAGTAAGAAAGAATTAAATGTGCAAGTGAATCTATGCATTATAAATACAGTGAGATAACCTCACAGTGTTAATGTAATGTTTAAGCTCAAAAAGGCTTCCTGGGGCAAAGAAAATTTGGTTACTTTAGAGTTTACAATTTTTATATGAAACCTAATTTTCTAAAATGTTATTACATTACTCTTTTCAAGTTTTCTCTGTCTTTTATAATCATTATAAACCCATTTCACTGAATTTGAAATCCATTATGAAGTGAATAGTTTTAGACTTTGGGAGAATGGGGAGACAAAAGCTAGTTTGCCTCTTTCTTAGTCTGTGAAGAGAGATGAGCCCTTTATAAGTCAGGTGCATCATCTAATTTAATCTTTCAGTGGGGAAGAGTCCCTCTCCTCCTGCTTGATTAAAGAGGAAGCCTAGAGATAAACGTGCCCTGCATAAAGACAGCTTTTGTGAGTATGTATTGCTCAGCTTCCCCGAGGTAGCAATAGCCCAGTGTGTAACAGCTTTTAAAAGTTCTCCTTGGTTTGATTTTTTTGTTTGTTTTTAACTTTGAATGTCTTCATCTCAGAGGTTCACAGGGGAAAAATACCTTACGTTTTCCTTTAAACTTTCAGGATTGTTCCCAGCCTGAAACTGAAAATCGCAGGGAAATCTCTGCCCACAGAAAAGTTTGCAATTCGGAAAGCACGACGGTACCTTTCTTCAAACCCCATTCCTTTGCCTGTCCCACCTTTGGTAAGTTAGAAATACCCACACACAACCCCTCTTCAACATTTTTGTAATTTAGAGAAATAAACCCGAGATAATTGGAATAGTATCTTTCCGTGTTTCTAAGGTAAAACCTCTGCAGGAGATTGGAATGTTCCCAGAGCAAAGCCAGATGAATGCGAGGAATGCTGTAAAACTGGGGCATGCACCAGCCACAGGGAACTCAGCCAGCTGTTTGTGACACGTAAATGTGTTGCATGTGTAACTCATTATTCCAGCTATAGAGTAGCGTGCTCCCAGCAGCTTTCTTTTGGTCCCCTTTGGAGGAACTTTGCCCTGGGTCTCCTCTGTGGTGTCACTTGCTAACAGAGCACTATAAGGTACAAGGAGGGGTGGTGTCAAGGAAACAATGGAGGGTTTGGGCATTGCATGTAAGGAGCTGTTTAATGTGCCCCTGAATGTTTGCAGTTTGGTGCTCTCCAGAGCAGCTCATGGGTGCTGGGATGGAGCAACTGACTCCTTTGGCCACCCCAGAAAACCACTGCAACTGCTGGGGTTTTTGTTTTGCTTTGTTTTTTTTTTTAATTTTTTTTTATTTTCCCCTGTTATGCTGGCCTATTCCCTGTAGCCGCTTGCATGAGGCACCCATTGCAGTTACAAAAATCTGTCTGCAAAGAACATGTGAAAAAGAACATTAAAGGGTTCTGAGTCCCTGAATTTGCCAAGTGCAGTGGTGTTAACACTTACAGTGCTTTCAGCTGTTTGTTTTTAAGAAGGAGACGGATAATTAGTAAGTATTCTTTAAGAAAATGCCAGAACATTTGGAGACCACTCCCCAGCCCACCAGGAGTATGTGACACTGAAATAGTTGTTACAGCAGAGCATGGGTGTTCACCAGGGGCCACATTCCACTAGTAAGACTGAAGTGAGAGAAATGATTAGGTAACTTTGATGTGCCTTTCAGGTTTCAGAGAGGAAGGAGTGTACACACCTGGGCTTTGGCTGGGCTGTCCTGCTGGGATTTGCAGAGCAGGTTTCTGTACCAGGAGCTCTCGGGCTCCTTGGCTGCTGTGCAGTTGCGTTTCCGAGGCAGCAGATGCCGCAGCTGAACAGATAAAAGCACTTCATGGATGTGGAGCTGGAGACAGAATCTCCTCTCCAGGATTTTTCTTTTCATAATCAAGAGACTTGCTGGAAAGAGTGAGTCCTCAAGCAAGTCTTAGCTCCGAGATTTAGCTTGAATAAATGTGGTTTGAATACTTCTGTTTGAAAACCACATTCATGAATCTGCAGTAGGTCCAGTAAGTTCAGCACAGGTTTTCCAGTCAGCAGAGACCAGATGGTGAAAGCAACAGCAACTGGGGTTAACATGCTGTTTCAGCTATTCTAGCCTGACAGCTTTTTGTGCCACAGTTCCACAATTCAGTTGTTCTATATGGGAATTTAATCCAAATGCTTTAAATTAGCACACACAGATAAGGTCATGTAGACCTTAAATAGAATATAAATAGAATAAATATGTGACACACTGATCTCTCTGGTGATCAGTGATAGGGAATGACACAAAGCTGTGTCAGGGTAGGTTTAGGTTGGATATCAGGTAAAGTCAACCACCCCAGAGGGTGGTTGGGCACTGAACAGGCTCCCCAGGGACTGGTCACAACATCAGCCTGACAGAGCTCAAGAGGTTTTTAGACAACACTCTCAGGCACAGGGGGGGGTTCTTGGGGTGCTATTGGGCTGGACTCAGCAATCCTGGTGGGTCTCTTCCAGCTCAGGATGTTCTGTGATTTTATGGTTAAATAATGTCATGAAGGCCAGTTGTAAGTCTATATAATGTTTTCATCTTTCACTTTGTGATTGGTAGTAGCAACAGGAACATTTGATGATATACTCTAAAAAACTCAACAGCAGATAGGAATTCAGCCTATAGTTTTTAATAAAACTTTCTCTAAGGACAGTTGAATAATAAAGAAGTTGCTTTCTTTGGGAACATCAAACAAACCTGAGGAATGTCAGAAGTTTACAGTTCAGATTTAAAATTCTGTCTGTTTGTTTGAAACTTGGCTTAAAGGTTAGAGGGTTTGGTTTTCTTTTTGGTTTATTTTGCTGTCCTGGGATTTCATAATTTTTCTGTGGAAGTATTTATGGATATTACTGCCTTTGCTAAGATAGAACTGAAAAACAAGAGTAAACCTTAATGAAGGGACAATTAGCCATGTGCTGTGAATGTTTTAAGTCTGTTTTGTTGGTACTTGCCTTCTATAAGTGAGAATGTGTTTGCATCTGTTCAAGCAATTTCCTTTGCATTGTTTGCAGTAAGTGACACTTGAGGTGTCTTCCAGGTCTAATTTGTTCTGAAAAACAGTGTAACAAGTTTTCAGTTGCAATGAAAATGCATTTTGACAAACTGACTTTATTTAAGGAACCTGTAACTTTTTCATCATGCAGAGATAAACTGAAGTAATTGACAACTACATTTATCCAGTGCTGTAATTAATGGTGCTGTCATTTCTCCCTGACCCCAGGAAATGATGTATATCTGGAATGGCTATGCTGTAATTGGAAAATGTCCCAACTTAACAGAAGGCATGTTAGAGACTTTAAATGAAGCAGAAGAAGCATTGGCAAGAAGTTCAGGTAACCAGTGGTAGAGTTTAAGCAGTTATTTTACACTGCAATAGCTAGAGATATTATCTGTGAATAGAAACACACTCATTAGTGAAGTTAATTGGGTCACAGGAGGAACACATATAATGAAACCATAAACTATTTATGCAGATAGGAATATTTTTTATTTTTAAGATAGCAACTATTTACAATAATAGTGAGTGATTTTTCCATCCACAGATGTGTGTTAGGAATGGTTTATGACATGTGATAAAGGTCTGTTTATTTTGTTAGATCAACATCAGCATATTCTTTGACTTCATTACTTGGATCCTGAAGGTCTGTCACCCTCAGACTTTGTTATCCTCAATTTTGAAGGATAAATAGGAGAGGACTTGTTTTTTTTGTTTTAAAAGTGCTGTCAGTTTGTGATGTGACCTTTGGGTTGAATGTTCTGGTGTCACCAGTGTGCTGCAGAAATCCAGGACACCAGGGATGGCCTTTCTGTCAATGAGCACAATATGGGATTGAACTGAAACAGCTTCTGCTACTACATTTTCTGTCAGTCTCTTTAATTAGCAATCCATGAGAAAATTGAATTGGTTTTCATTTCTTGTCAGTCTTTCCCAGTTCCTGTGGGAGTGCAAGCAGTCTGCATAGCATTTGTCAGTTTTTCCTTGACCAATATTTGATCTTACTACTGTCCTTCCTGCAAAAGGATCAAGCCCCTGTTGACAAAGGAATATAGGCTAAAACACTGCATTGCAGTCTTTTCTAGGGCCTTGGACTTCTGTGCAGTGTTACACAAGATTTGAAAGGGTTGTCTGAAAGACTGCCTAAACTATCTATTTTTAATTAATTGAAAAAGAGTATGGGAAAATATTTTCAGTGAAGGTGACATCTAAGAAAAAGGCCTTTGACCTATTCACCTTCTTTGTCACCCATTTTGTTTCATCATTTTAAATAAGTGAAGTATTTCCCTGTTCCCTTTTTTTTCTTAGTTGGCAAATTGTGGCTAAGGCTGCATTTTGCAGGGATTTGTAGCAGATTCATGTTTGTAGAACACTATGAGGACATGTAATTGAAAAGTGGGATATATTTTAAACATGCCACCAATTTAAAGTGTTGCCTGTTCAAAATATTGACTTGCTGTTTTCAGGCGTATTTAATGAATTGGAAATGGGCAACCAAGCTGAAAATTTTGCCTGTAAATTTTAAGAATAAGCTGCCTATATGGATTGGCTATGAAAAACCCAGCAGTTTTCTTTGAAATTCATTATGCAGAAATTTTCTGATGGAGAAAGACTCTTGATAGTAAGGATTTTGAACTAGGTGGAGTTGTAAAGACTCTCAGAAGTATAAACTCCAAAGAAGGTATGGTGAGATGTGAGGTACAGGTAGCAAAGTTTCACATATTTTTATTTAGCCAAATGGAGGTGGAGAATTGACAGAATCCTTGCCCCTGAATAGGCCGTGTGACTACAAGTCAGGAAGCAAAAGATCTGTACAGGGCAATAAAGACAAAGGGTTGAGAGATTGCAAATTGGACTTTAGTATTTACAAAATGGACACCTTAAATGAGTTCTTAGCTGTCAGAGCAGTAAGACTGTGGAACAGCTGTTCCACAGTGGGAGTAGGGAGGTACAGAACAGCCCAACAAATTTTTGGACAAAGTTCTATCAATTTATGAAAAGGTTGATGTGAGTTTGTCTCTGCATTAAATTAAATTCACCAACTAGTTCTTTACTGTGTTTCCATAGATGGACTGTACTCACACATACCTTTGAAAAGTTTCCCTACAGGCAGGAAAGTCTTCTCTGTTGTAGAGTTTTCTAGAATGTGCCATTTCCTTCCTCCTGCAGCTACAGAACTACTGGCAGATGATCGGTGTGTGATCAAGCTGTTAAAGGGATTATGCTTCAAGCATTTGGGCAAGATCTCAGAAGCAGAAGACCACTTTAATTACATCTATTTAAAGTAAGTTTTCATACCTGGCATGTAGGAGAGCTCTTGAGTTTCAAGTAAGAGGAGATGCAACCATGATATGAATAGAAGGGAGAGGTTTGCAGTATCTTTAGTGTTTGCTCCATGGTATTTCAATTTTAATTTCCACTGTTATTAGCCATGTGTTGAAGTATTTCAAATCTTCCATTTTTTATTTTGTTTTAAAATATTTTTAATTGAGGTATCTTCTTCTTTTTGGGGGACAGTAGATGCACACAATTTTTCAGATGCCACTTAGCTTTTATTGCCCCCTTCCTCTTCCCAGTCATGAAGAAGCTGTACCCAAAAAACCAAACTCTGCAGAGACAGGTGGGAGCATGATTACACTGGGACCTTCTGCACATCATGTGGTGAATGGCACCTCTTTTTGTCACCTCACATGGATAGAGCTCATGATATTGTCATCTTTTTCTAACTTTTCCCTGATAATAAGGCATTATTTTCTGATCCTGAGATTATACATACTGCGTAGGATGCTTATGCAAAATACACATTTAATAACCCAGGAGGGAGCTTTGGATAGAGAACATGACAAGTGTTGTAATAGAGATTGATTGCTCCTTCTGATCTTAGCTAATCTCCTATTTATTTGTGTTTGGAGCGGGTAAATGACGGAAACAATATATCATTTCAAGGTCTCTAGGCTATTTCTTTTCCAATGCAGTGAGAAGAAGATAAAATATGACCATTATCTAATTCCAAATGCCTTGCTGGAGCTGGCAATACTGTATCTGGACCAGGATAGAAGAGAAGAAGCAATAAAACTTCTGGAAAAAGCAAAGTAAGTGAAACGCCTGTGTTGGTATCTGATGGATCAGTTTGGTGTTTCACTGGTTAGCAGGAAGCAGAATAATTTCATTAATATCATGGCAATTAATTTCATTTTTCCAATGGGTGCATGCGTGCCTTAGTTTTGGTTTGGGCCTTTCCAGTGGTAGCTGTTGCAATTGTTCAGTCATGGACTTGAAAAAAGAGCCAAAAAAACTAAGTATCTTAGAATGTCAAAGGCTTCATAAGAAATAATCCATGTGTAACAAAATGTAATAATCTTTGTCGTATATTTGCTTATTCATATAAAGATGTATTAAATTTAATCAAAGCTCTGTGTTATGGCTAAAATAGCATTACTTAAATTGATGGCCAGCAGTGCCTGTTCCTTTCCTTGATGAAATACATTTAAGATAATGCTTCAGGTTACACTTGGTATCTTTGTATTGTTTCATCTGCATCAAGGCAACTAAAACACCTGCTTTTACTGTTTTGTGTGATTGATTTTTCTAGCAAAGTAGGTTTATGGGAAGTTGGACTTGATCATGTGTGTTCTTTGTTATAAAATTAACAAAATATGAGTTTTGCCTCTGTTTGAACCTTTATTAATCTGCTGAGCCAAAATTTTGGCAGTGATGGGGAGGGAGGAAATCCAACCCAAACAACTCTCCCCCTCTTCAATCACCCAGCAGCAGCAGGGTAGTTCACCTCTGCCTGGGTCCTGAATGAGGCCAGATGTGCAGTCACTGCCATGGGTGTGAGCAGCTACAAAACTGATGCCTGCCCTTGGGTCAGAGAGGTCAGACAGAGTTTTTATGTTGCTTTTTGTCCAACTCAGGCAACTCTGCAAGTCAGAGTAGCAAATCAAGTCTAACAAGGATTATGCCAAAAGCCTGTCAGCACAAAAATTAAAATATTGCAATCTTTAGTCTCCTGTGCTACTGAGCCTGGTTCTTTGTAGACTCATGGAAGACATCAAGAGCAGTAAATATTGCATTAGCAAAGTGCAGTGGAAAGTGTTTCAGCTGGCTTCATGTTCCTCAAAACACACCTGTCCTCATTTCCTCTGTTCAAATCTCTCTTAACAAGAGATGTAGAAATGAATGATTTGGAGCTGCTGATTCCAAGTCAATCAGCAGAAGTTTGTCATTGCTGCTTGGCCATTGCATCTTTCCCTGGCAGCTCTGAGTGTCTCAGGTCCTCTCAGGAGAAGGTGTTTGGTTTAACAGACAAACACCTTTGGCAGCTCTAAAAAATGTGCTGTGCCCAGTGTATGAAAGCTGCTACTCAACACTTGCTGTGCTCAAAGAACTCTTGAAAACTGTAATGACTGGGAAAAAAAAAAAAGGCACAAACAAAAAACCCCAAACAAACAACCAAAAAAACCCCAAACCTGCCCTCATTACAAACCCCCTTGTTTCAGTCAGTCACAGTAAGGGTACAGCTCTTACATTTCCACCCGTGGCATTAAAATGTTCTGGGTTTATGAGCTTTCAGCTACCAACACTGAATGTCTCAGGAGCCACGAGAGGGAGAGCAGAGCATTGGTGGGGCTGGGGCTGCAGAATTCAGTTTGCAGTTGGCAGGAGCGCAGGCGAGCGCTTGGCTGGTGCCTGACGTTTGATTTGCCTGACCTAAATCCACATCCTGCTGCTGGCTTGGATCCTCAGCTCTGGGAGAAAGAGTGGGACGAGATGATAAACAGTTTTGGCTTGGTCATGCATGGAAATATTTCTATTTGTATGACTGTAAACTACAAACAAGAATATCAGTGTACTCATGAGAAATACAGGCTCGGCATGGCAAAATTGATTTCATTTGAAGGAAAAACTCCAAGGGCTTTTCAGATCAGCACACAGCAGAACCTGGCCACCTCCTTTTCTCAGTTAGCCTCTTGGGTGTTGCATACATAAAATTATAAGCTGGTGTAGGATGGGCATGGAATTTCTTGTCTTCACCAAGAGACTGGCACCGCCACAGACAGATACCACGCTGCCATGCTTTGAATTATGAATTCAGAACTGAAATGCTGTTAAGATACAGAGAGTTTAATACTTAATGTTATGTTTCTGTAAAGATGACAAATATCTTCTACAAGAAAATTAGCATGGTCTAATCCTCTTTTGTATCTGGATTCTGTATCCATCCTGTAGGAGGTGACATGTTAATTCCTACTAAGTAGGATCTGCAATTTCTATGTGGTCCTGGGGCAAATTTTCATTTTTCAATATAAGCTTTTCCATGGAAATACAGGTTCTTTGAATCTTCCAGTAACTCTTTAGAGCATGACAGAACTACAGGAAGCTATAGGCAGGTGACAGTGCAGAGCTAGGTGCTAGATGTGTGTGGTGGAAATCCTGCCAGTCTTTTCCTGGGATGGTGAATTGCTCCTCAAAAGCTGATATGGAATCTGGTGTGTGCCCACGTTCTCTTTCCAAGCTCTGGAGCAGCAAATTGTCTGCCTTCATTTCCTACACACAGAGTTCACATTGTTGCCAACCATAGGATAGAGATGGGGTGTTTCCCTCCTCTGGGTCAGGACAGCTTCCCTTCTCTCTCTCTTTTTTTCTCTTTTTTTTTCTCCCTTCCTCTTTACTTTCTTGAAATAAACCAGACTTATTAAAATTATTTCTTTAAGTGCTGAAAATATTTGTATTCAAATCTGTCATTTACACTTTGAGGGGGGAAAAAATTGCTCTGATTTCTGAATGTAAACTAAGTGGATGTTACAGATAATTAATATGGACTCAATATTTTGATTGAGTGGACCAGATTCAATTTCTTACTAAGCTATATTTTTCTGGTAATTTCCAGACAGTGGAACTACAAATAAAGAACAAAGAGCTGCATTGTTTGGCCAGGAGCACATGCCTTGTATTTTAGAGCAGGCAACAAAGGAGCTTGTGAAGAATTTTATGCTGTCTACTGTTGTTTTGCTTAAAACTGTAATACAAATATAACTTAGAAATGTTTTTAAAATGTATATTAATCGGAGTGGATCTTCTTTTGTTTCAGACAAAACTACAAGAATTACTCCATGGAAACAAGGACACATTTCAGAATTCAAGCTGCCCTGCACCAAGCCAAATCCGCCCCAGAAAATGGAATGCACTGTGGAGCCTCGGCAGTGTCGTAACTTTTTCTTCTTTGATGTTCTGTTTGTTGCAAACTTTGGTGCAGAAAATTACTGACACTTTAGAATTATTTTTCCTTTTCTTTCAAGTCAGTGAAAAACCAAATAACTTAAAATTTCAAAGGCGATGCATAAAACATTAATCTAGTGTAATAATATGGCAAAAAATCTCTCAAACCAACCATAACCCTGAAAAATATTGTTTTTTCCAACAGTGGCTTTTTGACACTTACACACACCTACATCTGTGTAATTAATTTTTAATATGGCAAAAAATCTCTCAAACCAACCATAACCCTGAAAAATATTGGTTTTTTCCAACAGTGGCTTTCTGACACACACACCTACATTTGTGTAATTAATTTTACAATTGTGTGCCTTTTTCTTGCATTTGCAACATTATGTTGTAGCTTGTTTAGTGAAAGGGGAACATTGGAAAAAAAGAGCAAACAGCAAAACTTTAAGATTTCCCGATTTAATCTGTTAGTTCTAAATGTTTGTTTGCATCCATACTGCTAACAGCTGAGAAGGAAGCATTGCTTTTTCCCAGTACCTGCTCAGTTGGAATGGTGGGAGAAAATCTCACAGCAGGGAGGAGCTCTGGATCCTGGGCATGTCTAGTTGTGCACAGAAAACTTCTCTTTACCAGGAGAAGCTATTCTCTTCACATTTTTGCTTCTGTAAGAACCCTGCTGGTGAAAAGGATGGTCTCCCTTATGCAAATACCTTGACTTTTTCTTTAGTTTGGTTTTCCTATCAAGTCTGCTGCTTGTAGCAGCTGAATTAATTTACTGAGGATTGCGAGGGGAAAGGTGGTGATGGCATAAAACTGCATCACTTCTTCTTTGACAATGGGAGGTTCTTAGGAAATGTCTTTTGTCAGAATGAACATGATCTGAAGCTTATGTCAAATTGAAAGCACAAGTCCTTGAAGGTCATTTAGGAAATGGCAATGCTGCAGTGGCTGGAGCAACAGGAGTTACTGGGACAGTGCAGCCCTTCCTGCAGTGGCTGCTCTTGGGATTCCCAAGCTGAGATGTCCCTGCTGCACAAAGCTGATGTTCCCTGTGCTGAGGAGGCTCCCTCAGCACAGAGGACAGCCCTTTATCTTTCTGCTCTTTATTGATCTTTTGGGAGATTTTCTGTGTTAGGGGCTTTGAGAATAGAGCAGTGAGCTGGCTCTGCTTTCCAATGCTGCCATGGAATTCCTGCTTTGCTGGAAGACTGGTGAAGTCAGTGGTGCCACAGCTTTGCCTCGTGTTTGCTGTTCTCCAGGCTAGCTCCATGTCTGTATGCCTCTGGGGTTTTGGGGCACACTTCTACCTCCCTCTTGAAAGAGCTTCTTCCCCATTGCCCATTCTGATGGGTGGAGATGGGAGGTCTTCTGACAGCCCTTTTTCTCCAATGGAGATGTTTGTCAGGAGGATTCATATCTATGTACCTCACAGTGCATATCCTTTCTAAAGTGATTGTTCCCAGCAGAAGAGAAAATTGACAGTTTATAGCTCTGCTTTTGCCTCCTCAAAGGAAATTAAATTGTTTTATAACTGTAGATTAATATGCAAGGAGACAGAACCACCAGTTCCTCAACATGGAGAACTTGCATTGTCTTAAAAATATATGCCCTTTATAAAAGTCTTTGCAAGTTAAGAATCATAGATGAAGAATGCATTTTTTTAAAGTGACTTTCTCAGATAAATTCAGTTCTGATAAATTTTTCGATTCAGTTAAAATTCAGTATAAACAGTTATGCTATTTACATTGCTGCACATCAAAACTTCAGTGTAAAAATTCAGTCATTCTTTGTATAGAATAAAAAAAGTTTCTTGTTCTACTTCATGCATATAATGCCTCTTCTTCCAGTTGTGTCCTTTTCAAATATTTTGGCATCCTTAGCATCTTTTAAGCAAGTAATGCCATGTGAAAATTAGCATAAATTGTACTTTGCAGAAAGTGAACAATCCTTCTGAGTTTAGATTAATTTCTCATCTTTGAAATTTCACCCACAACTTGGTTTTGCCTGATCTTAGATCACAAAAGGATGTACTGTGTGATACTCAGCCAGCTTCCCTGATGCTTTGCAGCAATGAAAATCCCAAGATTTTCCTGTGGTTTTCATAACCTTCCTAAGATTTTCAGAGTCATCTCCAAACACCAGCACCAGTCACACTGTGGACCTGTTCTCCAGCTTCAGCTGAGTGCTTTGTAGTTCACTGTGATGTTTGACTCCTTGGCTCCCCATTTGCTCCCAAGCCATAGCAAATAATCACCTTCCTTATGCAATGAGGATTTATGGACTGTAATAATATGGATTCACCTGAGGAGAAGATGAGTGGAAGGTCTGGTACATTGTCACTGTGTAAGTTTTTTTATGTGTTACATTTGCCCAACATCACTGTACTCATCAGTCCCTGCATTTTGGTGCTCCTCCATGGCAGGGATCCAAACTCCTTGGGGTCAGTCTGGGCTGGAAGCTCAGTGCTGGGCTGGTTTTTCCATTGCTCCTCCAGCAGCTGCTGTGTGGTGTCTGGAGCAGCTCTGCAGGACAGTAAATTGCTTCATCAGTCTGGAGTCCCAAATGCAGTGAATCAGGGGAAGCACAAAGGTGTGAGTTGTCCCCTCAAGGTACTCAGCAGGAAATAGCAGATATTGTCATTGAATTGCACAGCAGAGACTGAAGCATGGCCCAAGATTCAGGAAATGGAAGTATGACTGCAGATGGATACAGTCCACACCTCAGCTGCAGAAGGAGCAGTTTCTGCTGCATTCAAACACTGAACTGTCTGAGCAATGCTTGAGAAACCCACTCTGTGCACCAGCTTTAGCCAACAACTGCTGCAATCAGCTTTTCCACATCCTCAGCAAAGCCAGAGATGTTACCCAAAACCAAAAATTACTCAGCAGAAAATTTTTCTGCACTTGGTAGGACTTTTATCATAAAACCCGCAAACTTTATTTCTTTTTCTATGTATCTTTTTAAACTAGGAAGTGTTTTCCTGCCAGTAACCAGGGAGGGGTAGAAATTCCTACTCAGTTTCCTGGATGTCTGCAGCAGCAGCCGTGGTGGCCCATGGGACAATGCTGTCACCTGAAAGTGGTGCTGGCAGGAAGGGCGAGGCAGTAAAAGGGGCATCCCTTTGTGATGAGCTCTGTGATGTGGAATCCCTGTGTGCAAGGTGAACTGAGGGAGGAGAGGGGCTGAAGAGCCAGCAGCTCCTGCTCCTGTGAGCAACACGAGATGAGATACAAACTGTTGGGTGAAGGATGTCGGGCTGGAGCTGGACCTGGACACAGCTTTTCTGGATGGTTAGAAGAGAGTTTGGTGAAGTCACAACCATGAAACTGTGATCTGGAAACACACATTTAAGATTGCTCAACTCCACCTGTGTCACAGGAGCCTGCTTTGCTTGCTGACACACAGTTCAATTGCCATGCACAGCTCAGACGTGCCAGCAGGGATGGGTTCAGGGACTGTCCCCTTCTGGCTGTGCCCGGCCTCAGGCTGTTTACATCTCAAAGCTTGGCTTAGGAAACAGCATTTTATGAAATACAGCAGCGTAGAACAGGATCTTATCAAACATTTCCTCCCATTTCACACTGGTTTTGGCATTAAATTCTGTATTGAGTGCTTTAATATTTTTAGTTATCTATGGTCTGGGTCCAAGACTAAAAGCTCACTAAAAGCTCACAGGCAGACAGCTTCTGGCCCAAGAAAGGCATCAAGTAATGTTTGTCCATGTGAGACAAAACTTTCCTACAGGTCAGTCCCAGAATGCAGAAAGCACTCCCAGGAGTTCAAATACAACACTCAGCCTCCAGTTCCACCTGCAAGATGCATTTCTTTGCCTTCTCAAGCATAAAAACACAGCAGCAAAGCAAATGTATATGAAATGACCAAAACAATGCATTCAACACTGTTCCCCTCTGGGAGGAAGAGGAGAAGATAAAGAGGTGAGTCATGTTGTTTACTGCTCTACAGGAAAATGGGTAATGGTTGGCAACATCACTGATGAATGAGACTGGGCGACCTGAACAGACTGGAAAAGAACTTGCTTCTTTTCTCATTATGTTCTGCAAATACATTTTGGTAGCAGGTGATGTGCAAAGCATGTACTAGCAAGTGTTTTAATTGAATGATTTGTCATCATAGAATATTTTTTAAAGATGCTATCTAGGCTTGCTTCAGGTGTTTAAAAAAAAAATCCAAGCTCTTTCTTTTAAGGACATGTCCAGTCAATCCCTGTCTCCAAGATTTATGAATAGCAACAGGGCTAATAAATACCTGCATGCACTGTTGTAAAGTTCTGCATAGTGTTTGCTCAGATTCAGTGATGACTCTGTAGAACTGGGCTGTGCTCCATTATCTTCTGTGTTTTTTTTAAACCTCAGGACCTACTTATTTTCATTGCTGGCTAAGCATAGGCAAAATGTTTATTTAGAATTATGCATTGCAGGGAAATCTACTTGCTTTCTCTTTCCTTGGCTATTTTACAGGAAGAATATAAACCAGAACAGTTATAACCCCCTGCATGCTCTTTTTATGGGCTGATTCCATTTTAAAAAAGGCAAAGAAAAGTTTATCTTGTGCTAGCAAAGTACAGGAGCAGCACTTTCAGGCCTGTGGCCTAGAAGTAATGTAGTGATGTGGTGGAAAGAGAAGACAGGCAGAAGCTGCAATATTCTGGACAGTTTTCCTCTTCCTATTCCTTTCATCCTGCAGTGCACAGGTGTGAAGGTAAGAACATCCTTGGTGCTGTGTGGGATGTTTGTCTGCAGTGCTGCAGCCCTGGGGCCATGCTTGGTGTCAGCTGTGTCACAGGGGCAGTCCCAGGAGGAGCTGGTGCTTGGTGAATGTGGTGCTTTCCCTGATGCTCTGGGGAAGGTGCTGGTGTGAGATGCCTGCAGATGTGGAACAGGAACTGTATCTCAGTGGAGTTCTGTAAATCATTCTGGGGAGTGAAGCAAGGCTGTGAACTCCAGAGGATCCTAGAATTACATGGCTCATGTTCAGTGTAATTTTTATCTGGGTACAGTACCCAGCACTGCTCTCACCACCACCAAGGTTGTGCAGCTGCAGAGGTTTTTAGATGCAAACATCAGGGCCAGTTACAGTTTTGATATTCCAGTCATAGAGGCAGTATCAGGTTGGAACCTCAAGGATCATCTAGCCCAGCCTTTCTTGCCAAAAGTAAAGGCTAGACAAGGTGGCCCTGTACCCTGTCCAGCTGAATCTTAGAAATATCCAGTACTGAGAGAGCTAACACTGCTTGGGGAGATTATTCCAATGTCTGATGCAATTTTGTGAAATTTTGGTTTACGTTTCATTCTTATGGCTTGTGGATACCTGAGTCAGGTTTCCATTCTGTGATGTTGGCTGGGCTCATCACTGATGCAAATAAATATTGGCATTTCTAAGGAACAGCAGGAATTCCATGCACAGTGTCTTTGCTACAGCTCTGTTGTTTGATCTGTCACACACACACACATACATAAAGAAAAGCTATATAAATATACATAAAACATCTATGTATGTATGTATACTCACACACAGTGGTAACAGGTTCTGGAGCCAAAGCTTTTTGAAAAGTTAACTGCTTGAACTATTTATTAAATTCAGGACTTTAAAAAGGCAAGATACTTTAAAAAGAAAAGAAAGTTTTGGTGATGCTGAGGAAAATGCAGAGGTTAAAGGCCTTTACTAATGGTTTGCAGTAGGATCACACTGCAGGACTGTGCAGTTTGCAGCATTCTAGAAGATGAAATCCCAAGGCAAACATGCAATCTAGCAAGAGTCCTCCAGTGGGGTAACCTCACAAAAATGCAGTTTTCTGCTCTAGATTTGAAGGCATCAGTTTTCACTCTGGACTAGCAGAGCTCTGCCTCAGTGGGACAGTGCCTGGGATGGCTCTGTCCTGCTCAGAAGAGATTTGGGAGTGATTCATCCTTTCCCCTTTTGAATTCTTGCCTTGTCTGCCTCCCTCAATCTGCTTCCCCAGCGTGAATCCTGGATTACACAGGCAGCTCCTGCTAACGTGGCAGAAGTGTGGGCAAAAGAGGCTGAAAAGGTGAAGTTTGCCTGTCGTGGTGCAGTGAGAACCCTGGCAGAAGCGCAGCCAGGGAGCAGAGTGAGGCTGGGAAAGGGCTCAGTGTGGGCAGCCAGGGCCCGTGTGGTGAATCCAACATTTACTGCTGTGTGCAGAGCTCTTGACATGCCTCCCTGGAAAGAAAGGGAAATGTTTTGTAGGTGTTGGTGCTGAAAAGAGCAGGTTTATTAGGTTTCTGCTGCTTGTTTTCCAGCCAGGAGGACACAGGAGGGCTGGGGGCTCTCTGTGCACGCTCCGTGTGGCTGGGCCCCTCTTGCTGAGTAAGCAAATACTCGGTGCTGTGGGAGAACAGAAAGGGCTCTGCACAAAGGATTTCTTCATTATAAACTCCTCTCTGCAGCTTTTACTTAGCAAAGTGTCAGAGCACAGTGAATGTTGTAATGAATCAGTTGCTAGCGTGAAAATAAAGTTATTTCTTCTGCTTAAATCAAAAAGATGCTTTAGCAGAGTGCATTTAGACTGTTCTCTTTATCACAAAGCATTAACTTTGCATTTCATACCAAGAATTCCAAAGCCCCAAACTCTTATCCCAGAACAGGTTTAAATGCAAGATAATCTACAAAGGATGGTTAGCATAAATTATATTCTTCAAAGTTAAATACTATATAAAAGGAAAAGCTAATCCTTGAAGCTAATTTTTATTCTGGGCATTAAGTCAAGAAGGGTTCTTCTGAACAGATTTTATTCATGTGTTTTATAGGCTGTCAACTAGAATGTATGTTTTTAATAAAAATGTGGTATCTGTAACAAACTCTGTTTGTAATCAGCCAGCATCCACATTTTTCCTGTGTCCTTTTAATCCAGGATTTAACTGCTGAGAGCCCCTGTATGTTTAGCTTCAGCCATCTTGTTATTTATTTCACTGGCAGTCTGACTCAAAAGAATTTTCATCGTTACCACAATTGCACAAGGACAGGAAATGTCAAAGTCCTGAAACTGTGGCAACTGAAGTAAGTTCAGGTATTTCATAATCCCTCAGCCCAGAAATGTACCCTTCTGCCACTGGAAAGGGAGACTGTCAGCCTTCCAAACACGGAACTGCTTTCAGCCCTGGGAAGCTGCAAGACTGTAAGAGCTTTTAAACCCTTATGTGGCTCATGTTCCTTAGAAAGAAATGCTCTGGGCTGGGTTTGTTTGTTTATCTATGATTCTCCCCCAGATTTACATAACGAACTGGCAACAAGTAATAAGGATTACCATCCTTAGATGTAAAATTATTAAAGTGGTAATTCCTGTAGCATGCAAGAATTTTTAAGCATGAAGATCTGTACAAAACTGAGTATTCCTTACTTGTCATTACATCTCTGGCTTCAGGTTTGTGGGAGTTTCCCTCTCATGCAGGAAACAAAATCCATTTCCTACTCTAATGTGCAAGTGGAACCAAGCAGATCCTTGCTGTGCCTCCTGGGTGCAGGTGCTCCCTCCCTCCCTGCAGTTTCTGTGCAGGGGCAGCAGTGATGTGGTGCCACTGACCTGGGGCTGTGGCTTTCACAGCCCCTGTCCCTTGTGCTGCTGAAATGGAGCCTGGTGCCCCCTCAGCCAGCAGGGTCTGTGCCAGGGCTGCTGTGCCAGTGCCAGCTCTGAATTACAAATGCCATCACTGCCCTCAGTGTTTCCATCACACTGCACAGCCCTATGGAAATGCTTCACAGCAGCAGCTCCTGAGGGCTGTTGAGCACCTCCATGCTCAGGTACCTGCACACACTGGCTCTAAGAGGCTTTTTTGTTTGTTTTTTTTTCCTTCAAACTGCTTTGCAGACATTTTTCTACAGACCTGCCCACCCTGGCATAAGAAGGACTTTGGGCGAACAGGTCCAGGTGAGGCAGAGCCAACTCCTTCCCCTCACTCAGCTGCAGGAGACTCCAGCTGGGAACAGCTATGCTGTGCTGGACTGTCTTCATGTGTTTGAAGTGCAAGTAATTTGCTAGACACCTCTAGGACAGGAGGTAAATATATCTTCATCTTATAGATGGTAGAAATAAAACACTGATCTGATTCCACAATTAGCTAGAATTCAGGTTATACATTATTTTGCATTAAATTTAGATAAATTCTTCTTGGAACTCGAAATCACCCAGAACAGTATTGTATCTAAAAACTTGAAAAATAATTTGATTTATTTGTTGTATTTACACATTTGTCTTTAAGCTAAAATTTGAACTTTTTTGGAATGGTCATGTGTCATCAGCTCCAGTTTTAGCCCTTCATACCTTTTTGCTATTTAACAAGTATTTTAGTAAATGTAATTTCTTCCCTTAGCCCAGTCAGTATCAGTATTAAAAAGTTCAACTGCTCAGGTGTCAGCTGCCTAGGAAAGCATTCAGCTCAGTAACCCATCACTTCCTACTTCTTTTAAATCATTCTTAATCAAGTATTGTAATAAATAAAGATTAATACCACCATGACAACACTGTTTTTTTCAAATTGTTCATTTGCCAGTTTTAACAAGATAAAGAAATGAATACTTAATGTGGACATTGTTTTACCAAAAAAAAAAAAAAAAGAACCCAACCCCTGAAACAAACAGACAAAAAGGAGGACACAAAGGAACACACATGGAATGATGAAAAGGAACAATGATATTGCACAACTTCAGGTCTCTCTTCCCAGATTTGGATCCATGTAATTAGGTATGCATGAATTCAGCAAAACGTTGTGTCCAGATAAATGTGTGGCCATTTGAGTGAAACTAGAACTGCAGAGTGTTTTCAGTTCCTTCTGACTGCTCCTTGGAACTCTTCTCTAAGGGAGCAGGGTGCTGTCAGCTGCAGGAATAACAAACAAATGTTGACTCTCCATTGTGCTGACCAGTTATCCATAACCCACAGAGTTACAATTCTCCTCTACTGCAAATGCAGTAAGTCCTCAAAGGACATGGGTCTTTAAACACAACTTCTTGTATCAAGAACTCAAACCACATCTGAAACACAATCCAAGAATATCCCCCAATTTGCTGTGGTTAACTTGAGATTGTGTTTCATTTCATGAGACCAGGGCTTCTCACTGTGTCAGGGTGGCACTGAATGCACAGAAGTCACAGTAGGTACAGCAAGGGAGTGGGGGAGAAGAAACAAGGAGAAAATCATGCTGAGTGGAAAAAGGTCTTTAGAGCTACAATCTTTGCTGGAGCCTCTCTTAACAAGCACGTACTGTTTGCTACAGAAATCAGGGAATTGTGTCATTCTGGCTATAGCAGGACTGTGTGCCCCTCCACCGCTACCCTGACACTCTGTGTTTATATAAACTTTGCATTTATGTGCAGAACAAAGTCTATTTTTCTCCTCTCTGCATTCATTCCTGTTTGGTGGACTGATGTGCCAGCCAGCAGGGCTCAACAGATACATTTAATACAGGAGACTGGGATACAGTATGTTTATTCTTAACTTCTGATAACCTAAGAACTACAAGAAGGAGAGATGCAGTATCCATTTGCTATTATCCAAGACAACCATTTTAGGGTGAAAAAATAGAATAAGTGATCAATGCTAGCGCTACATTAGTTCCAAATTATTTTTTTTTCAGTGATGGCAGCTTAACTATTTATTGTTCATCTGGCCCACTTTTAATCTGATAAAGTTAAAGGTCACATATTAAAGTTTAAGGACTGTTATTTCATCAAAACTGAAGGACATTATTAAAAAAACCCATGAAACCAGAATTTCACTGCAGGACTTGTGTCATATCTTCATAATCTGTATCACTTGTAGAAAAGGGATAATGCATCTCAGTTTGCTTATAAGCTAGGAGATCACTTTGAAGTCTGCATATTCCTAACTGCAAACAAAATATAGCACTTTTAACAGGTTATAAATAAACTGGTTTTCAAGCATAGAGCCAGCCCAACAATAACAATACACTATTAAAAAGACCTAAGGCAATGAATTCCATCTCCAATGGAAAAAAAAAAAAGAAAAAGAAAAAGAACTGTGCAAACAAGCTTAAAACTATTTCTTTGTGCCAGTGTTATAAAATGTAGATTTCAATAAAGCCTTGACCCAAATGCCAGGACTTGTGAAAAGAATCAGAACAAAACTGGTTACTTTATTTAGGAAAAAAATACTCTTATCTTGCTGCTAATAAAATTGGATACACGCAGTTTAAACATTTACAGTTGCTGTAACACTTTACACAATTCCTATATATGGGTGTAAGAACAAACATTAAAAGACAATGGTGGGTCAAGGCTTTACATTAAAAATAACAACCTACTTTTCTATAGTCTCTAAAATACTATGTTTTCCAATATTTGCAGCCATTCAGGAATATTTTTTTTATTTATTTATTAGGAAATGTATACTTTGTGCATGATCTTAATTCCTAATTCCTGGCTCTTTGGGCTGAATGACAAAAGGATCAAACCCATTGAAGTGGATGGTCTCCTCGAAGGTTCAGTAGAGAAACCCTGGCTCAGTTAGTCTCATATGATGAAAGCAGTGCTGCATCCACTGGCTCCATGCAGGATGGACAGGTAAAGGATCTCATCAACCAGTCATCTATACAGTCCAGGTGGTAAATGTGCATGCACGGCAGAAATCGGATAGGGTCCCCATAAACAAAGTCCATCATACAAATGACACATCTGGAAGAGGGAAAAATAAAATATTAAGCTTGTTGTTACCAACGTGGAAATTAAAAACAGTGTAATATCTATTCCTGGATGTTTTTAGTATTTGTAGATACTGTGAGGAGTAGCCTTGTGTGAGATAAAGGAAAGAGCCTCAGATGGATGTAGTGGTTTGGATTAAAGGGATCTTGGAGCCATGGAGTTCCAACCCCTGCCCTCAGCAGGGATGCTACTCACCACATCAAACCCTCTGCACGACTTTATTTATTTTTTTTAAAGCTACATTAAATCCCAGCCCCTGAAATAAGGCAAACCAGGATGACAAGGTCAGGTTTCCCAGGGTAGCATCCCAAACCAAGGCAACAACCCCGTCCCTCCCACTGTGTCCCAGGACTCACTCTCGGATCTTCTTCTCGGAGCCGTCCCTGCCGGGGTCGTAGACTCCCTTGGGAAGGTGCTGGATGAGGCCGATGCGCTGCGCTATCCGGATCTGCTCCTCCTCCGTCAGCTGCGTGGCCAGCCGCGTCTGGCTCGGCGTGGGGTGGTACACAGGCACGGGCACCTGCTCCTGCAAGCAAAATGGTTCCGTGAAAATCCGCCCCAGAGCTGTGCCAGCCTCCCACAGCACACTGCGATTCACAGTCCTACAAATATTTGCAGGAACTCCCACTCCTACTTTGCGGTTTTGGGGCTATAATTGTAATGAGAACAGGATAGAGGATCGAGGGCAGTGTTTGAGCAAGGAGCTGCTCGTGGTTGTTCTCTGCAAAAGCTTTTGATCTCCAGGAATTGTTCAAACAGGAGACACATGGACAAGAAACTCCACAAGCCAGCAATCAAATAAACCTTACAGGCACCTGGTGAAGCGCTAAGGTACAGAACTGAGCACTGTAAGGGCTTAGGGAGAGCCCCCAGTACCTGCAAATCTGAAAGCAGATTCCATGATTTTTATCTTCTTTTTACATTTAGGAAGAATTCTTTGGAAAGATGAGGATACTGGTTACTCTCATAAGTTTTAGAAAGGAAGGTTTTACTTTCTCTGTAATAACTAAAATGGATGTGAACTGCTTTGGGCCACACAAGCTTAAATCTAGAACTGTAGATTTAATTTTCATGTGTTAAAAGAATGTTACCTGGACAGCACAAACAACAGCTTAAGTAAGTAACCCAAGTTTTGTGTTCCATCTCATACACTAGTATGACTTTACAAGTTCTCCCAAGCTGGAATCAGCTATGGATATGTTTGAGGTATGTATTTTCAAAAGAAATACGGGAAACATATAGCTATTATGCAGTCCTCCCTTGACCACATTCTGAGAAATTTCTTTTGGATATCAATCAACTTTAGATCAGATATTTCCACTAACATTTATATTAACATGGTATTTAATTTACTTGCTTTTAAAGCATTTTTTGGTACATAAATACCAATTTTGAACAGGATACACTATTAGGACAGTATTGGGCAGTAGCCATAAATCTGCTATTAACAGGGAGGCAATTTCTTGCAAGAGACCCATTTAAACAGAAAAAAAAAAAAAAAAAAAAAATTTCAACTTATAGATGTGTCTGAAAATAAACCAGCTGCATCAGACACACAATGCACTGAATCATCTGTTTGGCAAATGCCAAATTTGCTGTTTTAGAGGACACTGGTGAAAGCTGAGGCCAGGGCAGGTGTGTGCAGCTGAGGCACCACAGGTCACCTCCCACATGTAACACTGCATTTGTCAAAGCCAATAAAGCTCTTTTCCTTCCACTGCCAGGAATCACAGCACGTGGACAGCCAGCCAGGACTCCTGGAAGGCCAGGAGAAAACCAGGAGGGAGCAGCCTCTTGCTGGTGCCACCCAGCATTAGAAGCCCTTGCTCATGAGAAATGCTAATTACAGATACAAGTCTGCCTGGCAATTCTTCATTGAACACATTGCCACTGGCAATTCAGCTGTGGGGTAAAATTCATAGTCATCTCTTCATTTAGCTAGTCTAGGATTTCCCCTTCTCATTTCCTGGCAGAACTCAGAGGAATTATGAGAAGATTCAAAAGACAGAATGCCAGGGGTTCTCCAAGTGATTAATTTCCTGACTACTCTAAACTATTATTTCACAGGATCACAGAATTCTTTTGGATCAGCTGCCTTTTAGTGGTTTAAATTATCTAAAGTATTCTCTAATCATCATTTGGACAGAGAAAAGCACCAGCTGAACCTAGGGCTGGCCTGTCAGATATAACAGTATTCAGAAACCTTTGGTGCCAGCAAAATACAGCAAATAAAGTATTTTCCCCTGACAAATGCTGCAGACCCTCTACACTGAATACTTCAGCTTGAAGCAGAGCCTGGTCCTGGTTTTATGTTTCAAGAATTTAACACCACAAACTGGCAGGAACTTTTTTTTTTCCCAGGGCTTTGCTGTACTTCTTTGAAGACGTTATTAAAGCAATAGCAGGATATTACTGCTACCTCCTTCACTTGTTACACAAATGTAGAGAACAACCAGCACTGGAGAGGGATGTACCCTCCTTCCCACCTAGGAAAAAGAGAGGAGCAGTACAACAAACCACAGGCACAGCACAGGCTGGTGCCAGCGTGGGCAGGAGGAGAGGAGGGAATTGTACTTAATAGAGCTCCCCTGGCTGAAGCCATGGCTGCAAGTGATAATGCAGAAATGCAATGAAAGGCAAAAACAGGAGGAGAAAATATCCAAGAGATCCTCAAAAGGTCTTAAAGTAGCAATGAAAACTGACAGTGAATGTCTGTAGCAGAAGAACAGCAAACTGATGATCTCAGCAAAAATGATACAACAAAAGGAAAATACAGTTTAAGTAAGAATCTGCTGTGAGTTAGAACAGTCACATTGGGACAGCTCTGAAGTGAGCGACAGTCACACACTGCCCAGTCAACAATGGCTTTGGTTAAGTTTTGGACAGGAAATCCAACTTTTAAACCTGTGACAGGCCAGACAAGAACAAAACCTCATTCCCTTGTTCTAGTCTTTTACAGGCACTTGTGAGTGACCACTGAGGGACCCTGCAGCTGGGGAAGCCACTTGTGCAGTGCCCCTCTCCCCCGGGTGTCACCTCCCCTGCAGAGGGGCTGGAGGCACCCCGGCCCTTGGCGTGCCAAGCACACAAATGCTTTGCTGGATGGAAACTCCTCCCTTTGGCATCCAGTCTCGGGTTCCCTCCCGGCACAGCCACCCGACGTGTCTGACACAGCCCATTAAGGCAGGAATTTATAGTCGCCAGCTGGGGGCTTCTACAGTTTCACATTCTAGACAAGAACCTCTTGTCAGAGGAGTAACTGGGTGAAAATGGTGGTGTCTTTCACCACGATGTCCTCACGCTTGTGAATGCAGAGAGCTGGGGTTGGTGTGGCTGTTGTGAAAAATGCAGAACAAATTACTGTAAATAAACCACAGAGACCACTGGATACCCAGGCACTGAACACCCTGCCTGGTGGCACTTTGATCTCCCCTCCCGACTGCTGCTAAAAGGCTGCCCAAGCTGAGCCCTGCACATGAATGCAGCAGGGAAATGAAGCACACAGCCACACACGGTGCAGTGTCACATTATAGGGTACATCAACACTGACCCTTTCAAACCAGCCCTATCCCTCCAACAGCTAAAAAGAAAAGGAGTGTTCGTACCAGTATGATTCTAAAACTATTTGGAACTATTTATTCATGAGAATTTGAGAGCCCGGGTTTCTCTGACTGCAAAGTGCCATCCCCAGCTCCCCCAGGGGACCCTGACCACCACCCCAGGGTGGGGCTGGGCTCCTGCCCCCCTGGCAGCCCCTGGGGCACTCACCCAGCTGGCCCAGCCCCGTGGCAGCTGCAGCCCTGCATTTCTGCACCAGCCAATCCCTGCAGCGATTTTGGGAGTTAAAACACCCGACAATAACTCCAAGCTGCTGGTCCTGTGTGGGTTTATCACCCCCTTGCAAATCCCTCACAGTTTATAAAAGCTGTTTTCACTGACCAAGGTCCTGCTCCTCCAGGGTGGGTGCTCAAGGGGAGCGACTCGAGACTTACTCAGCTCACATGCCAGGGCAGGGGCCCCCTGACATGGGTGTATATAAAAAAGATTGTATTACCCAAGTAATTGTTATTTTACTCCGAAGACGAACATGAATTTATTGCTCTGGTGTCTCGCATTTCTCTTATCGACCATGGAAAATGTTTGTGCAGACACAATTACAAAATACTGAACTTCTAGCCAAAGTCTGTGATATTTATCGTTTGATAAAGATGTAAGACACTTCAAACTAAGATGAAATTTCATGCTAACTCTATTACTTTGTGCGAAAACCCCTAGAAAAGGCCAAAACAAATAATCAAATTCACATATTACTGTCAGGCAATGAAATAAAAATCACTTTCTGGCACTTAATTTGCTTTAGTCAATTATTTTTCCCCATAAGAATTTAGTAATGATGAAACACCTCAGATGCCCATAATCCTGGAGATACACAACTTTCTCTATGTTCACAAAGTCAGTGGTATCAGCACAAGTTTCCCTGGCTTTCTGTGCACAGAAATCATTCACTCCCAATGCTAATTCAGCCCTTAAAAACAGCAACATAATTCAGACTCAAGGACTGCAGCAGCATTTGTGTCTCCATCTCACCCCAGCTCCTCCTCCTTTGGGGGGGGGAAAAAAAATCAAGAGGGCATCTGGAGGTCTGCATTTCTCGCTCCTAATGAAAAAAACCATTTTCACACATGGCCTAAAAGGTCCAGAAACTCTACACACAGATTTCCAGGCACACTTTGGATTCTTGGCTAGAAAAAGAAGGTTTCACCAAGCGTGGTTTTTACTTTGAAGCGTCCTCATTAATGCAACTTAGAAAAGTAACTTATGCTGTTGTAAATCTGCTTTTCTCTTGTTTTACAGCCTTTTTGTCTTGTTTCTGCAAGTACCATGAATTTGTAATACTCTGAAAACAGGTCAGTGGTAGATCAGAAACTCTTAATCCCTGGATAAAGATTATTTTAAGATCCCTCTATGCCACATATCAGCAGTATGTTATCAGGGCTTTTGTTTGCTGTTTTATAATTGCACGAACATGCCCAAATTATCCTTTCAGGATGGTCAAAGGTGAGATGAATAATTCCTAACACCAAATAGTTCAAGGTTAAAGCCTCACTGCTGCCCCTGAGATCCTGTCCACTGCCTCTGCTTTCCTCTACTGATTGCTTTGCCTTGTTTCCATCTCTAAATTTTCTTCCTCACCTAATCCAGTGCTGTGTGTCTCACCCTGGGATATTAATTTGCATTTTATCACAAGATCAATGGTGTATCTCTTAATTCAGTCCGACAGACGAGACAAACACCTCCCTAACTATGTTATCCTACATCTTTTTCACACTTTTTAAACCAGTAGCTGTAGCACTTACGCTCCTTGCGGTCGCTGCCTAATTAATTAATGCAAATATAACAGTTCCATTTGCATTTCCCCAGCTGTTCCCACAGCTCTGTTCTGAAATCCCTTCGACTTGCACATGTCCTGCCTGGAACAGGATGTCTGAAGGCAGCTGCCCTGGCTCACACACCAGCCCCCACCAC